TTTTCTGAGTCCACATGTCATTTCTTTCTGTCTTTTGCAGCGCAAGCACCCCACCATGTATGATGAGTTTGTGAAAAGGAAAGATATGAAGAGAGAGGGGTACTCCTCTGGCTCGGTGCACAATTTTACTGCAAATGGAGGGAATGTCCGCTATAATGTCCCCCTCATCACTGGAGCGGCAGCGGGAGGCGCAGCTGGAGGGACTGGGAACCCAGGCTCCGTGGGAGTGGTGGGAGCAAACCCTGGAGGAAGGGTGACAAAATTTGACAAACACGATCCACGTCAGGTGTGTCCAAAATTCTTTTGCCAAGATATAAATGTTTTTTTGTTTTTTTTTTACACCACTATCATCAGACTTTAACACATGCTTGGTCAAAACAGGTGCTTATTTCTGAGGCTATAGCCAAGATGATAGTGCAGGATCTACAGCCAGTGTCGATGGTGGAAAAGAAGGATTTCGAGCATTGCTACAGCTCTTGGAGCCACGTTATACTCCAGACTCACAACTTTACATCCAAAGCCAGCTCCTTCCAGCTTATGCCTATCAAGCACAACTGGCAACGCGGCAGGCACTGAGCTCAGCCCACACCCTCAGTCTCAGCCTGGACATCTGCTGGGACAAAGCTTTGAACTCATCCGGGTAAGAAGGTCCAGCATACCAAAAGTAGAGGCTATATATTTTGAATGTACAGGCTGTACAGTTTGAATAATTTTGTTTGCAGTCACACTTTTTCAAACCGATCAGGTGTTTTATGAATTATTTACTTAGTAAATGCTTATCAATATTCTATATTTATGCATTTTTATATTTTATATATGCATATTTATGCATTTTTGTTTTATTCTCTCTTGCCAGGTATTTTGGTATCACCTGCCATTTCCTCACATGTGACTGGCAGATGCGCTCTGCTCTGTTGGCTTGCCTTCCTTTGACTGACGTCAGTTCATGTAGTCAAATTCTCTCTGACTTTGAAGAAGTTTGTTTCTCCCACAGTGTTGCAGGAAGAGCATTCCGAGTTGTTGCAGATGCAATCCCATCAACAGAAAAGCCATGTTGCCTCCCAGGTTTCCTAATATCACCCCTGCAGGGTAGCAAACAGGGGGAAGAGGGGGAAGTGAGACACAGTACCCATAATGGAGAAGACAGTATTCCAAATGGCCACAATGAGGAATTTGAATGGGAAGAGTCACTGGAGCAGGGGCTTGGTGTATGCCGTGTGGACTGCTTCTCTCGCTCCTTACAAAGATGTGTTAAGGAGGGTTTACGCTCCTGTCCACAACTATCGCCCACTCTGAGGAAGGCGTCCTCTTTCTATCACTACATTACCTCCGCAGTCCCAGCTGAGAAGCTCAACCAGGTGTTTGATACTACAGCACTGACTTCAGGGAGCATTCCCTCTGCACTCGACGACTGGGCAATACAGCTCAAAGTGAGTTTTACACATTTATCTCTATTACTATTATAGCCTATGCCCAATTAGACATTTGTCATTTTTAGTATTTAGTTTAGTATGAAATTTTTAAGATAATAATAAGCTAATAAATTAATTAAAAAAAAGAAATAGGATAAATTAATACATAATTAAACACAAATGTAATGTTAATTCTAAATATATTATTAAATAATTTAGGTGCTGCATCGTCTCCTGGATTCTGTGGATTTCCTGGAGGAGCTGAGTGGTCCCAATGAGCTGTCTTTGGGGACTTCAGAGCGGGTGCTCTTACGTGAACTCACAGATGTCCTGGAACCTTTCACTGAAGCCTGGGATATGGTACATGGAGCAAGGCAGACTGACCCTCTGACAGATCGACATGTGCCCATTAGTTTAGCAATGCCATGTGTTTTAGGCCTGTGTAAGCATCTATCTGAGACCTCTGCCGTCCACTGTCCTGCTCTCTTGATCGCTCTGAGGCAGGCAGTGGAACGGCTTCTGGCTCCTCTTCTCCAGGACCCCCTTTACATCACTGCCACCACTCTGGACCCTCAGTTCAAACTCTCATGGAGTAACAACCCGGACTGGCACAGACAGGTTGTCTTAGAGGAGTTAAACAAACACTCAAACACTCCTAACCCTACAGATCCCACCACAGACCTACAGGCAGAGTATCCCTCTCCTCCTGCCCCAGCCCTCTCTCCGGTCTCCCCTCTGTCCCGTCCATGCAAGCTCTTCTCTTTTATTAAGCAGAGACCAATGACTCAAGCCAAAAGCCTTGAGCAGGAGCTGGCTGTATATCTCAGAGAGGAGCCCACAGATGAGGAGGCTTTGCATTACTGGAGACGTAAAGCTATTGACTTCCCTCAACTGGCTCAGATGGCTAAAAGAGTGTTCACTATACCAGCCTGTGGCACTGTGGTGGAGACTATATTCAGTACAGTTGGATGCTGTCAGAGAACCTGTGATTTACCAAAGAACCTGGAAACTCTTATCTACCTCAAAGCTAACTACAGGCTGTTATGGACATAGATAAATGCATTTTAAATGCATCTTACTGGGAAAACAGAAAGCTTTATTCCTGATGTAATAATAATTTTGTTGCTCATTATTTGCTCTTTTGTATACTTGAGGGCTTTTCCATAATGCATTGTCAGAAAAAAAACATTTTACTAATTTACAGTCTAGTATTAGACAATACACTATTAAATGTGTTCTAACTGGAAAGCACATGTTACACTCAAATTCAAGTTGCCAAAGTGGATTTATTTGAAGCTTTACAGAAAAGCTTTATGGATTTATTTGAAGCTTTATGGAAAAACCCTCTGATATGGACTCCAGGCCCATTAACATGCATGGACCTTACTAGGATATAACCATGAAGCTGCAGAGGGCCAATGTTTTGAACTATGATTTACTTTATCTGAATTACAGGAACACAACCCCATGTGCTGTCATTCACTTCATTAATAATATTGCAAAATGTAGCATATAGTTTTATTTTACTGATAAACACCTCTGCAAACAATTTGTCTCTGTTTCATAATAATGCCTGTCAGTGCACACATTTTATTTTTATACTATTGCCAACAAGTTGGTGTATTTATTGTAATAAATAGTGAATGTGTTGTAGCATATCATGTATTTATGTAAATACACTTTAGACATGCAGGCCCCCCAGAGAATGTAGGTTCAAAACTAGGGATGATGTTTTGCATAAATGGTTAATCAGACTATTGGAGTAGTTTCATTGAATAACTTGTTGAAAATGTTCCATAAATGCAAGAATTTTATTTTATATTTACATTGTAACATTGTTCAGTCTCATATTGCCTCAACTAAAATGTTACGGGATGTAACAAAATGAGAAAATCGGCTCTTGCTGTGCCAGTGAGACTTTTTCCAAAAAGTAATTACAGTTCTATTTAAATGCATTGCCAGCTGCTTTCACAGACTACATCAGGCTATGTCTCTCAATTTTCAACATAAGACCTAGAAAAATGAAATTAATTTTGGCCTGAAGCAGCCAGACTATTCATAATTAGCTTGTAGTGACAATTGCTGTATTTCTAATCCAGAGCTGAAGTGATTTCTATCTGCACATCTTACATATCCGGTTAATAAATGTTTTGTTATTGATACTTTGCACTTTAAATATTATTGTGTCTAACTAAGACACATTGTTAACTTATTACATTATCTTTATCAGGATGTATAAATTTGCCAGTACATTTTCTTGTCAGTCAACCTCTTTCTGTGCTTTCTTGTGAGCATATATTGTTTATCTGGTGCAACCTTAACTGTGTCTCTCCATTTCCTGCCTGTGACAGCTCATCCATTTGAGTTAGCGGATCGAGCCGGGCCACACTGCTATATTGGTAATTGCGTCTGAAATGAATTACGTGGCAGAGTGCGACTGAGGCAGGAGAGCAAATTGTAATTGAACTTTCTCTCCTCTGTGCCTCTGGTTATTGCAGCTGCAGTGCACAAAGTCATTTTCAGACTCAAGACAGACACACTTACTAAAATACACACGCTAATATAGAAACCATTTTTGTTCCTTTAATGGCCACAACAGTCAAACATATTGATACTATTCTTAAAGGTAGTTGTTTGTGCTCTGCTCCTGTTTTCTCACACTCATACTAATGTCCTAATTGGGTTATGTTTTCAGATGATATTGGATAGTAATAGTAATGAGTTATTCTGGACATATATATCAAGTAATAAATAAATGCACACACTGACACACAGATATGTATATATGGCTGACCGAAGTTGGATTGTTGCTAAAAAGAAGGAGAAGAGTGATACATATGGTGTCATAATATCCTTGGTTACTCTCTCCACAGAACCAAACATTGATAATAATAACTCTTGCCCCGGTTGCTGTGCTGTTGACATTCACAAAGCCCCGATGAATGGTGAAGTGACAGCGCATTTTCCCTAAGCTTTAACTTACATAAACCAAATAGATTTTCTTAATTAGATAGCTAAATATAGTAAGATTGAAAGATACGGTATAAGTCTACAATAACTATCTCTCTCTACACAGCTTTGACCTTTTCGACCCCCATAGGGCATGTTGAGCATAGGAGTGATTTGTTTTGGCTCCACTTATAGCTCACAATAGCATCTATTTTTGTCAGCATACTGGGGGTTATCTCCCCTCTTATCCAGTGCCCAACCCCTGTCTCTCTCCTCGTTCCCCTTTTTATCTAGCTCTTTCACAGGCTTCAGACAGTCATGGCTGATCGAAGTCGGATTGGTGCTAAAAAGAAGGAGAAGAGCGATGAGAAGGCACTGGATAAGGAAAAAACTAAGGAGAAGAATGCCAAAAAGCCAGACAAAGTTGTGAAGAAGTCAGAGAAATTACCAGAGAAGACACCAGAACAGAGCAAGGCTGGTGAGGAGAGCAGGACTACAGAAACTGAAGGGGCAACAGGGATTACCAATGAAGAGAACGGGGAGTTTCAGCCGATCGAACTTCCACCATTTGAGATTGTGAAAGGGTAAGAAGAGTATGGAATAGTATACAAAAAATAATAATGTGGTGTGTAATATTTGAAACTTACAACTTCCTTTGATCAAAGTAAGGAAAATACATTAAGTAAGAGAACTAAAGTAATGTGGGATATAATTTTTGTAGATCAGAGATTATAAAATTTAAATTGTTCTCAGTTACTAGAGATCAGCCTTGAAATGTAAATAACAAATTACCCCTCATCTTCTTTTTACATTTTGTTTGATATAGTATATTTGTTTGTTTATTTATTTATTTATTGGTTGAGAGTTTTGAGGATATATTTTAATGCTAAATGTACCAGTGATTCACAACTGCTGTCCTTACTAACCCCACTGTAAGAATAGGGATGACTCACCGGCTCCATAGCATCTGGCGTCCACTAACTGTGCTTTGATTATTAGAAAAGAGATAGCAAGGCAATATGAGACAAGGCCGGATGATCCCACTGAATGAACCATAGCAGTGGATTACCAAAGAAAATCAAGAAAATATTTTAATGAGGTTACATTCTGAAAGATAGAACAGGACTGTAACTTTAGCACCCCTCTGATACAAGATTATTTATAGTGACTTTGAATATTTTGTTATGTAATTTGATGGTGAACTTGTGGTGACTTATGCAGTAAGAACTTTGCTCTTTTACTTCTAAGATGTAAGCAATATGAACACCTAAATGTGATTTAGATAACTTTTCTGGTAGAGGGTCCACCACGTGCTTGCTTGTCTCCATGGAGATAGTATTGCTTCACTAGGAATCTTCCACAGTATGGAAATAAACATATCTAACTCAAATGTTTTAAAATACTTATTGTACACAGGGTCGACTTTCTTCTGATCTAACCTAACTCTGCCTAGTCACCTATGTGGATCCATCAAGATTGAAAAGGTTAAAACTGTACCATGGAACATTCCAGACAAAGCAATAAAATGCCCGTGGAAACAAGCAGGTGGCAGACCCTCAATCAAAAACTTTTTACAGTGCACCTTTAATATAAATATTTATTGGTGCAATTGTATTCTGGATAAAATGGGTTTAGTAATGAACAGAAGATTTTCCAAGAATTATATGTTTTCTAATGGTTAAACAAATGTATGATATAGTAATTTCAAATATGAATTCATATTTTTTTATTTGTTATATATATTTTGCACATTTAAAATGTGTAGGAAATAATTTTGCATATCTTTTTTCATGCTTTGCTTCTGTTGACTTAGTTTAGTGCAGAGATTGACTGCTCATGAATAGCAGAAGGCATGTACTCATAAATATCATCTCATTTGACCAGAGAACAGATGAGCCCCTTCTATTTCAAGTTTCAGTTCAGAAATGTAGAGTATTCATCTGGGAGGAACAAGACCCTTCTGTGCTACCGGGTGGACACAGCAGGTGGCAGCACAGAGCCGCTGAAAGGTTATATGGAGGATGAACATACCACAGCACACGCAGAGGAGGCTTTCTTTCAGCAGGTAATTTCACTCATAACAGTTGTGTTTGTCGTCAAGTCCCTCGTGTCAAAACATGTATATTCACTGGAATTCATTTCTCCATGAAACCCCAGCACTCTCCCTTCAGACTGTGCCAAGATCTGGATCATAAAACTGAAGACCATAAACAGAAAAAAAAAAAAAAAAAAACAGCGGCGTGTTCACACTTTTTTCCACTATTGACACCATTTATTCTGCATAATTTCCAACTCAGGTACTGCCGGATTCATCCCAGGAATATGATGTGACATGGTACGTGTCGTGCAGTCCCTGTGCAGACTGTGCTGCTAAACTGACCGCTATTCTTCGTCAGCGTAAAAAGTTGAAGCTGTGTGTGTTCTGCTCGCGCCTGTTTGAGTGGGAGCAGCCGGAGATTGTGGAGGGGCTGAAGGCTCTGGCGAGTGCTGGCTGTAAACTGAGGATGATGAAGCCCAGCGACTTTGTGCACGTTTGGGAGACGTACGTGGAAAAGGAGGAGCAGAGCTTCAGCCCCTGGGAGGACTGTCAGGACAACTATAACTATTATGTGGAGAAACTGGCAGATATTCTGAAATAGACGTGAGTCTTCCTGAGTAATTGAAATAATATTTAATTCCGAAGTTCTAACGCCCCTTCCTTCTTCAAATATTTTACAGATGTACCTGTCAGACAGAACCGGGAGGATACAACAATAGTTCATACATTTTTATTTTTGTATAATTTCATAGCAACTACATATGATATTAAATACAATTTACACAATTTGAATTCATGTCTCCTGAAGTCCCTAGCGTTCACAAAATAAAGTGTGCATTCAAAATAAAGTTCAGATACAAAACAACACTCATTGATATCTGCTGACCCCTGGTGTCTGTTCTGAGAATTAAACAGCACTAGTCTACTTCAGTCTACATTAGCCCTCTCAAGTGTGGCACAAAGTATGGTTTTATATACATGAACAAAACAGGCAATAAACTACATAAATACATTCAGGAATCATATTTACACAATCCTGCTGCTGACATTGTACAGCTATACATAGTCCAAGTCTTTGCTCAAGCATGGTTAACTTATTTATATGTTTAGTAAAATACCTACATTTAAACAGTTTGAAAGACCCCCTGCATTGACCACTAATCTGCAGCCCTCCACTACAAATATAGTTCCATATGTGGCCCTCTGTGAAAAAAGTTAAATTACATATACCATTTCAACATAAATCATTGTTTAAATGAAACCATCTCGCCATTCCCAGTTGTGTTGTTGCTGTCAGATGGTGTGGCTAAAAAAGAGCACACTCATTAAGAAACTATTTCAATTAATCTTATTTATATGACCACTCTGCCCTTTAGTTACCTTCATCCTCTTTAGCTTTTATCGGTAACAGTGTTGATTCACAACTTATTGTTCCATTTTCATCCGCTTCTGTGAGCAGAGGAACAAACAAATATAGTACACAAAGTATACAAACATTATTTTATAGTTTTGTTGACATGTACTTAAAAGTACCTTTAGCAATGTCTTTCAGGTCTTCATCAGTAACATATTCAGTTAATGGATTTGGTGCATCTGCAGAAAAGCAAAAGAGAGAGAACAGTATACTGAGAACAAAAAGTGGCTGGTTTCTTAAACTAAAACAGATATCATATGCGGTTATTTGGTGGAGCTGAGTTAGCAAAAAAGGAGGAACAAGCTACCCAAAAACCAAACTGTTCAGTCAACATACGCTTTGATAGTTCTGCCCTTGTTAGAAATAGGTCAACCTCATCTGGTTTCTCTTGGTCAACAACTACAAGAAAAGAAAGACCTTTAATACAAAGACAAACCACACATAATAATAATTCAATAAAGACAGTTATGACTAAACACACTTGATGGCCAGGTAATTAGGTACACCATAAAACCCATGGACCCCTGGACTCTATTGTTAACCAAAATTAAAATCTACATTACATTACACTGCATTAACTTCTTTCTTTTTTATAGTAAATCATGCAATAATCAGTGTTATGTGTTGTTTCTTTTTGTATTACATGAGACAGTGATCTATAATCAAATCGGTAATTTTACATTGTATTCTAACATCAGCTTGTAACAACTGCATATAACAGATAATATATTTGGAATAATATCTCTGTACATCAAAACAAGGACCAAATTTTACTAGAATATGTCATCTGCAATATAAACTTGAAGGTTTGTCTGGAGTAAGATAAGGACTTTAAGTAAGTTATTTTATTGTTTAATTGATCCAAAATAAGTAGCCATTGAGTGCTGTAGTCATAAATATTTTTTTTTAATATTATGATTATTTAAGGAAGTGAAACCTGGCTTGCGGCAGACTCTCAGAACAATACACCCAAGAAAAACTGCACAAAGGCCAAACACTACACATCCAGAAATGGACAGAAGGACTCTCCTCTTCAACACTGTGATAAAAAAATACAAACAAACAAACAAATCAAAATAAGAAGCAACATTTTCAAACTCAAATAAAGATAGACTTACAGAGGTTGGTTGTTTTCAGAGGTTCACTAGTCTTGGTATAAGCTGGCCTCCCGTCGCGCTTGCCCTTGCATGTGTACTGGTTCTGGTCAGGGTCATTCTGTGGTGTGACTGTATGTTTTTTAGAAAAAGGCTGCTCAATTATTTCACTTCCTTTGAACCTGTGTAAGAACAAACTTTATAAATATATTTGCATTTGTGTTGGGTTATTCTTTAGTTAATTAGTTAACTGATTATGCATATTTCATTATCAAATTAAATATTAGCTTGGTTAAAAACATAACATTTAAACATGTTTCATTTAGTTTTCAAAGCCCACTTTCAAACAAGTGGTTAAAAATTATTAGATTATTGAATGTTTACAAACTATGAATTAATGCACTGCCACATTATAATTAAATTGAAATGAATACTATACATCCATCTGTCTGTACATTTTAGTCCATATTTTGGCCCACAAATAGTTCTAAACTTGATGTCAAATGAACCAGTTTAAGGTTAGTTTTATAGATATCTATGAAAAAATGTTAAAAAGAAGGAACAGCAACAGAACAAGCAGTAACAGTGCAATATTTTTGATGGTTTCACAGCCTCAGCTCAGACTGTACAACCAAATCGCAGGGTTTAAAAGTTCACATCTCATGATTCATGTTTTCACACTACATGAACGAACTATTTCAGCAGTGCGAAACTCTCACAAGAGGCAACTGGATTTCCCACGGGTTTGATATTTTTGTGACCTACAATTGCCAATCGGGAGCTGGTCGTGAGGTATTATATCGCTTCTCATTACCCCATATATACTACACAAAGCACGACACATGATTAAGACAAAACCTGATCCCAAAAACAGTTGCACGAGTGAAAAATTGACTCAAAAAGAACCAAAAATCACACAGTGTATGCCCGTCTTTAGGGGTTTATATAAGAAATATTTTATAATGTTAAATATGCTCTTTGCATTTCTTTAGTGCGTGTTATAGTACCATTCAAATTTCCAGTCATCATCCTCACTGTCTACTGCTTCACACTGGAGCACTAGACTGTCAGTGGAAAACACCTCGGACCAGCCTGTTAGGAGCTGTAAAGCTGCTGATGGGCGCTCTGTAAAAAACAAAAAAGGTTACACAATGTTAAAGCATTCATATTAAATACTTGGTAAACACCTAGTCTACCAACCTAAAAGTATCTAGGAATCTTCCATAAAGCAATGGATAGAATATTCAAACAAAGCAGACTTTTAAACTAGTCTCTACAAACTACACAAAATAAAGCCGGCAATGATTCATAAACTTAAACTTCTGATTTAAAGAGCCTATATTATTTTTTGATCTACATGATGTTTCCTCAGCCAAAACATATGTGGAGTTGCATTTTGTTTAATTTACACATTTAACATACACATCCTGCATATTTTGGCTGTGTTTTTCTCTTAAACAGAAAACACTGTTCCACCTTGTGATGTCATGTAGTAATATAGAAAGTGCTAAACTTCATGAATCTTCACTAGAATCATTTGGATAATTTTCAGCCCTGGAATGCTATTGAATAAAATGTAAAAGGTAGCTGTTAACTTGAAAACTACATGAACAGAGCATTTTGAGCATGGGGGATGTAGATCACTCAAATGTGTGAACAAAAAACACATTTCTGGATATGTTTTTGATGAAGTAACAACATTAGAACATAACATGACTTAAAGCTCACAGGAATCCATTTTGTGTAATATAGGACCTTTAATATTAAACCAAAACTAAAGAAAGGAATATAGAAATATACCTTTTACTTTAATTGCCACACTCCTACTGTGATCCGTGTGGAAAACAGTCTCTCCTTTTCCTCTTTTGGCCCTGCAGTTGTATTCTCCACTGTGCGAGGTGTGAGCATGTTTGATGGTGTAGTTTGGTCCAGATGTTTCGAAGTTATTATTTTTGAACCATGTATAATCCCATCCTGATGACACGTTGACTCCACAGTTGAAATATATTGAATCCTCGGTGTAGAAGGTATTGAACTCGAGATCTTGGACAAGCGTAACTCTGGGTTTAGCGTCTGTAAGGACACGTTCAAGAGTCGGTCAGAGATTACTCTTTCTAAACAATGCAAAAAGTAATGCAATATATGAAATTATTGGTTATCCACAATCGTAAACAATAAAAGGGCAAGCTTAAATTTACCGAAAATAGCATAGTGCCCTGTATGAGTTGTCTTACCATACACCTCAAGTCTTATCCCCAAACCGTAATTGCTTTTGACAAGTCTCTTCTTGTGGTTTGCCATGCAGCTGTATTCTCCAGTATGTGACACAGAGGAGACGATGGTCAGAACACTGCCATCTTGGTCTATCTTCATGTTGTCTTCAGATTTGATCATCTGTCCGTCTTTGCTCCATGTGTAAGACCAATCAGAGGCACTAGTCTCCATCCCACAGCGCAACTTCACAGTCTCCGTCGGGAAGGCATCCAACCATGAAGTTAAGTTGCTCACAGAGGGGATAGGGATTTCTACACAGATTTGTAGGGAAAAAAATAAATAAAAATCAATAAATCCTAACAAACAAAGTCATGCAAAGTCATCTGAATGTGTTTGAATAATGTAAAACTATATTATGAAGATTCATTGAACACAGAATTTTGAAAAAGATAAAAAAGTCTTCTCTTATGATGGCCATATTGCTCTCAGCTGCTGGATTATTACAATGAAACATGTTTAAACACATTTTGATGAAAAATTTATCAAATCTTACCAGAAATATTTATGACTTTTGGCTGACTTTCTGTTTCAAAGAGCGTTTTTCTTCTTTTGGCCTTGCATTTATAGTCCTCTTCCTGTAGATGTGTTGCAGTGACAGTGTAGCTAGCACTAACAACCGGTATAGTATGTCCTTTTTTGAGCCAGTGGTACTCCCAGTCTGATGACACGTTAAGTTCGCATTTAAACACCACCAGCTCTCCTAGGTACACCTTGTCCACATCAGGCCACTGGGACAGAACAGGCTTAGGCATGTCCTCTAAACACAAAATAAGACATTTAGCTGCACCTGCTTTATTGATCAAAACATGGAAAACTCAATAGCATGAAGCAAACATGACCACCTAAATTACAGATGCATATGTAATTATAACACTGCCTGAGTTATAAAATTAAACTGTCAGACTTACTTCTTATTTCAACCTTTTTAACATGACTCATGAAGCTAAAGCTGTGAGTCTTGCCTCTTTTGACCTTACAGGAATAAGACCCAGAATCTGTAATATCAGGAGAAGTGACTTCATATCTCGACTGGTTGGATTGGAGTTCTTTCTCGTTTTGGTACCACACAAACTCCCAACCACTTGACACATTGATTTGACAGTGGAACTTCATTGGCTCCTGAGGGAAGAGTATGGAGTAGTCTGGATGCTGGACCAGTGTGGGCTGAGGTTTTTGATCTAGGCACAAGAAAATCATTCACAGTCATCTTTGAGAATTACACATTGCTACTGCAAAATACATTTACATTTTTTTAGTAGCTGTTCTTGTAGTTCTTTTTTTTTAGCTTTATAAGAATTAGTTAAAAATAATCTTGCTTGTTTTAATTTAAAGCCAGCTATATTCACATACCTTACTCCTGTTTGCGTTTGCCTTGATTAGTTGGTCCAGTCTATGTTTAGTACAGTCATAGTTTAGTCTTAGTCAAATTTTAGTCTGCCAAATGAATCAGGAACCAGGCACTGTATAATAAACTGTATAATACACTTCAACAAATTTGTAAAGAAACGTACCATACACTTTCAAAGTACGTGGGGTGCTGAAAGACGTGACAACGTGTCTGCTCTTTAGGGTGGCTCTACATTTGTACTGGCCTTTATGTGAGGCTGAGGCAGAGCGGATGGAGAGCTTAGCGTGGTCTGGGTCAAAAAATACATCTGTATTGACAGTCTGGTCATCTTTCTTCCACTGGTACGTCCAGTTCTGAGGAGCAGAGGACACCCCACAGCCCAGCTCCACTGTCTCAGAGGGGAACACATCCATCCAAGAAGTGAGAGGGGTCAGCTGTGGGACAGGGATCTCTGTAACAGAAACAGGCAGTCACCACATTAGCAGTTCATTCAAAGAGCATCCTATTTGAGTCAATATATCCAGTAACCTTACTGGGATCTGATTAGTTTGCTGTCTTTTAAAAGTATAATGATGTATGAAAAAAAATGTCCAAAATAAATCAACATGGTCAAAAATAGTTCCTCTAATACCACCAACTGAACCAAAATCACCAAAGCTTTTGTAGAAGTTGCAATGATTATTGTGCATCACTGGTGCAAAACTGTAGTCTGGTGCACATTTTACATTGTATTAAATAGGCTTTTTGTTAATATTAACTTAATTAAGTGTAATTTTGTCTTTCCTTGTCACTTCTAATAATCAACAGAATTCTACAAAGAGCTCAACCTTTACACCACAACATCCTGTTTCAAATGAAATGCACAGTATAGATCTGAACTATTCACACCTCTCTTCAACCAAAAGGCTAACAATAAAACTTGCAAACCAACCTATAACCACAATGGATTTGGTCATGTTCCAATTGAAATAAAAACTGTCACAAAGTTTAACGTCTTCTCTGTCAGCACAAATTAACAAAAGTGCAATTAACACTTCAGAAAGTGGGGCCACTATTCAACTCAAAAGATGTGACTGTTATCAGTTGAAAGAAATTTAAGTCATAAGATTAATATGGTAAATTTGTGGAGCTAGTCCTGAACAAATAATGATAAGGTTCAACATCATACATTTGGATATTTCTTTCAAAAGTTTTATAGAACCCTGCCCTCCATCTGAAACCATGACATCATTCGATATTATGGTGTGTGTCAACCCACTTACCATAAACCTTGACATTTAGTGGTTGGCTTAAGTTAGAGCTGACAGTCCTGGTTTTGTGTTGGGCTTTGCAGACGTAAGTCCCCGTATGACTCATTGATGCTGAAACTATTTGAAGAGTGGATCCTTCATCTGTTATTTTCAACAAATCATCTCCAGTGAGGGGTTGTCCATTTTTTAACCATGAGAATCTCCAGTCGGTGCTACCAGCATCACAGCTCAGAGTCACTGCCTCATTCTTATATACATCTGACCATAAACTGTGTAACTTCACCGCTGGAACATCTGAAATACAGCAAATAAAATCAAATATAAACATGTATTGTCCATTTAAAAAGTTGGCAAAGAATAACAATAGTTTTGCATAAGTAGTTTTGCAAAGTAACAGCATATCTTTCTGGAGGTGGCATATCACCTACATGATTCTATGGAAATAGTAAACTAATGTAAAACAAATAACAAAATATTAAAACTGTAAAATGTATAATGTATGATTACAAGCTTTATTGAATCTCACCATCGACAGCTTGTGTCATCTTATCACTACTGAGGGTTGTGACGCTGCCCCTGAAGGCTTTGCAGGAGTAGCCCCCTCCATTTGTCAGTTGCAGAACAATACTAAGAGTGGGACCCGTGTGGACAATGTCTACATCATCTTTGGACCATTTGTAGATCCATCCAGCAGAAAGGAGAACTGCACATGTGAAGTTCACTGTCTCACCTACATACATCTTGTTTAGATTAGGACTTTTGGATAATGTGGGTTTAGGCGTATCTGAAAAATAAAACATATATATTTTTTATTTTGTATTTTTGCAATGAAAAAAAAAAAACGCAGTTGAGCAGACCACAGAGGTTCTAAGGTGAAGCTTAAAAACAGGAAGCACAGCTGGAGGAAACAGAGTTGAAGACTTTGAAGACTAGAGATTTGTGGCATATTTGTTTGTCTGTGAATGTGCACTTCAGAAGAACATCTCATAAAAAAGTGGACAGGCTAAAGGAATAATCAAAAGAGAATAAGAATTGTTCATTACCATGAATTTTGATTATGACTGGTTGGCTTTGCCCAGAGCTGACGTGTCTGGTGTTATGGAGAGCTTTGCAGGTGTAGCGTCCCTGAAGGCTCTTGGAGGCTGATAGCATGATCAGTCGTGCTCCCTGCTCAGTGAACTTTATGTTTGGATTCTGAGCAACTTGAACTCCATCTCTCAGCCAGGTGACCGCCCAGTCAGGCCCGGCAGTCTCACAATGCAATGACACCTCCTCATTCTCAATCACTTCGGGCCATACATTTAAAAACTTCAGTGTTGGTATGGGAATCTCTGCAACAAGATGGAATTTACTATATAAGAATATAGGAAACTCTGAATTAAAAGTAGCAGTGAATGATTCATGGCTTGAATCTAAACAGTTCTGTCACAATAAAGATACAGGAGCAAAATGTTTACTCAAGTAAAAGATCACATATTAAAAATATACTAAAGAAACACTCAAAGTGCATCAAAGTGCATTTTAAAAATATACTTTCAGAATAAAAAGTAAATGGTAGTACAGGTTTTTGAAAACATTCAAAGCTTGAAATGTGGTTTTCTTGATGAACAATTGTCAACAGAGGAGAAAATCTAAATGTTTCAAGATATTTATATTTTTGTGTGCTCAAAGCCAGAACCAAATCATGTGGTGAATAAAAAGTTTGCACTGTAAAATGTACTTCAATAAAGCCCAGATATCTAAAATTTTTCTTATGTACAGCACTATTGATTTTATATTTCATTACTTTTCACCACTGATCACCAAAAGGGTGAACAAAGCCAAAGACTCTTTGCTACTAATAACTTTCAAAATTTTTTATAGACCAGCCATTATGACTTAACATTAAAATAGCAAACATATTTTCCAACAAATTACTTTTTGAACTGGTGGGTGAATTTATGGTTCACTGAACTACTGCAGGGTTCAAAACAAACATACCTGATACTTTAACATTGATGGTATCACTGGCAGTGCTGACAGTCACCCCACCTCTTCGTACTTTGCAGGAGTAGTCTCCATCATGGCTCTCTTCAGCTGAAACTACAGTGTACTCATCCTTAAAGGATTTATGCATGGGATTATCGTTGAGGTACCAGACATATTCCCATGAAGATGATGCACTGACTGACTGACTGATCAGACATCTAATAGTGAATGCTTCACCAACAAATACACTCTGCCGGTTCTCATTGATGCTTAGTGTCGGCTTCAGCTTTTCTCCTGCAGCCAGGAAAAGAGGTTCATTTATTATTGGTCCATTAAACAATGAAAAAAATAGCATTGGTATTGGTAAAATAATTTGTAAATAGCAAAGTAAAGAGACAGTTTCTGTCATAAAGTAAAGTAAAGAAACATACATATATACATATATTTGAATCAATCAAATATGTGAAAAAAATACTATTAAGTACAGTATCTAAGCAAGTAAATTGTTCCCTATACAAACACTTACCAAGAACAGTGATTTGAACTGCATTACTGTATGTGGTGCTAACAGATGTGTTGGTTTTGCTGTTGCCTTTACATCTGTACTTTCCACTCTGTGACTGTGCTTCTGCATTCACAGTCAGATTCTGGGATTCCTCCGACAGAATGACAGAACTGTCTGAAGGTCTGACCTCCTGCTCATCTCTGTACCAGGTAATGGTCCAGCTCTTGCTGTTAATTTCACAACTTAGTTTGATTTGTTCAGACGGAAACACCTTAGACCACTGTGACTGCAGATGCACGCTCGGCACAGGAAGAGCTGAAATAGAACAAAAGTCAATAGTCAGTTTATTATAAACATGGATATTTTACATTATCCTCTGTCATCAGAATGCTTGCTTCATGAGTGTCACATAATTGTGTATATACTGCAATTGATACAAGTTCTTTATATTTCATTTGGCTTTTATCCATAAGCAGAAAGACTCAAGTTGCTTATAATCAATGTATTCAAAGGGTTGGTACTTTCTGACTACAATAAAACTACAATAGTCGGAAGTGTACTCTCCTTCTCTGTTGTCACGTCCTATTATATAGGCCTAAATCAAATGCCCTGAAGTAACAGCTATGATAGGAACTGCCAGACATGGGATTAACTTCATGTTCCTGATGCAAACCCATGTTTTACTTCACAGATTGTATTTTCGAGTCTGGTGATGTATTTTGACATTATAGCAGAATAAAAACAACAGCCTGTTAATAACTGCACTTTGCTTACCTTCTCCCTGAGCACCACAGCCAGCACTAAAAGCTAAAAAAGAAAACAAACATTATATATATTTTAATGACATGGCTCCTAAACATAATATAGACATAGACATAGACATACAATATACAGGCTATGAATATGATTTCACTTACAAATGAAAAAGATGATTTTGGACACCCACATCTTCCTCACACTGCTGCTGAGTGCTGGCTTGTATGTGCTATGGGTGCATTTGTGTGAACAAAAAGGAAATAGAAAGGCGGCCACAGGGGTGTGGGTGACAACTTCATGTAGAAACTTGGTTCAGGTCTGTTCTCTTCTGCTTTTTGTCACCGGAAATGTGTCAGTCAACTTCATTTTAATGTTTAAATATCATATATCAACCCTGATTTATCCTTCTTTTAGATTGTCAGATTATTATGAGGATCCTTGCCAGTAAGAGGGATGTTTGCAATATTGTTTTTTTGAAAGACAAAACTAGTGCTCTCATCAATGCAAATGCACTGCAGTTTAAGAGAAAATTTGATCACAAAAGTGAAATAGCAGATTTGTGTGTTTTCAGATCTATACTGTTCTGTGCTGTATAACTTGATCTTAGTTTTTTGTTGTTGTTTTTTACAGTCAGAAGTTATAAAACTTCACATCCAGTTAAATAATTCAGTCATAATTACATATTTAAAATATTTTATAACATGCATGACATAACAAAAGGCCACCATCAGCAGATGTACAGTTTTATACTTCATTTAAAGAAATTTTAAAATACCTAAACACACTGGAGAAGGAGTGATTGTAATGGGGGATTTTAACATAAACAGGACAGACAAAAGCAATAGGAAAAACTAAAGGAAATGGCAGCACTGTATAGTTTCACACATCTAGTAAATGGCTCTCTGGGGGGAAACAAAATGTCTAAAACACAAACTGACCTTATATTTTCAAGCAAACCTGACAGAATAATTAAAAGCTTTAATTTCATTCCAGAGATCTCAGATCACAATGTTGTTTTCATTGCACAGAAACTGAATAAGAGTAGATTTGCCTTCAGGAATAAAAAGAGAGTTTCTATAAAATACCTATAAAAGGCACTTGCACATTTTGTATGAAATTTTTTGAAATAATTAATAATGTAAACTAAAACTGTGTTAAATGTTGTAATCTGAAGAATAAACAAATTTACCATAGTTGACTGGAGAAATTTGGGCTTAATGAGGAGAATAAACTATTTGCTGAAGAAAGCCCTAAAATCTGGTATTGGTAATGACATGAATCTTTTTAAAGATCCCCGCAATAAAGCTGTGAAGGAATTAAGAACAGATAAACTTTTTTCTTAATGTGATCACACAAGCTAAAGGAAATGGGGTCTGGTCAAGCGGTAACGGAGGGAAACAATGGCAGATTTTTTACATTCAAATAGCTTTTATTCAGAAAGGGACTATTGAAATAAGTAAGGTATCAGAATGTAGGAAAGAGTTAACACTCCAACAGGGTAAAGTTAACCTTGTGATATTCTTTCAAGTTGTTGACAAAAAATTTAAAAACTCATGTCGGTAACGGAGGGAATGAAATATGCAGCACTTTTTGGGCAATAAATACAAACAGTGATAACTACCGGTTCTCACTTACATAACCTTAACAAACTGGTTTGAATATTTGCTTAATATAGTTTTCTACCATATGGTACAAGATTAGGTTGAAAAACCTCTTACTTTTTGAGTAATGAGATTTTTTTTATTAAGAAGGGTCATGGTAACGGAGGGAAAAGTAACGGAGGGAAAATTGTGCAAGCAAGTAGAAGGTCATCTTTTTTCTTCCGAATACTTTAATATTACTTCAAAAAGTTAAGAAAGGTAACTATTTCTATAAAATATGTCAGTCCTTCCAAGCAAATTTTTATCATTTTAAATCTTTTTTTAAATTTTTTATCCTGTACCTTCATCAACAGTTCAAAGATGGAATAACACAAGATATGATTAAATACATCAATTTATTTACATGATTTGCAGGTCTTTGAAATTTGGGAAATAATTTTTGTTCCATGTTTCATACATGGTATGTTTAAAACATATGGAACTTTAGAACCAAAAATGGTACAGAAAAAAGGTAAACAGTTTCATGAACTAGAGTACATATGCTATCTGTTGAATACATTTTTATATCAGATGCATAAACTTTAATTTTTGGCCTTGCTGTATACTTCTGCTTGACTGGGCCCAATGATAATAATATGGAACCATTATAAATGCTATTTCTTGGAAAGATAAGATAAGCTGCACAGAAATGATTAAATCAAAATGAATAATGAGCTAATTCAAGATGAAACAATGATAGCCAATGTTTTCAATTTTTTTTTTTCAGTCTTCCCTGACTGTTTGAAAACCATTGCACAAAGGGGGAAATGTGACCAAACTTTACAACTACAGGCCAGTGAGCATCCTACCTGTACTATCTATTATTATGGAGAACAACCCCTACATCCGCTACAATTATGCTTTGGAAAACATAATTTTATTTTATTTTATTTATTTTTTTGTCAAACTGCTCAAATGTGTGTTGGATAAATGGGGGTGCTTGGAGCCATATTCGTAGACCCCCAAAAAAACGTTTGACACAGTAAACCATAACATCTTTTTATCTAAATTATCCAGACATAATCTCTCAGAAGGTGCATTGTAATAATTTGGATCATACTTGCAAGAAAGAAAACACTGTACAAGAATTAAGGGCACTATGTTCTCTTTTATAGACAGCTCAGTTGGGGTGCCACAAGGCTGCATTTTAGGCCCCCTCTTGTTCAGTGTTTATATTAATGACCATGCCAGTCTGTCCAGAAGTAAGCACACAGATGTACACTCACAATATCTCAGATCTCAGACTGAATGGTGTGCTCATGTCTTACTCTAAATATCAATAAAACTGTCAGCATGTAGAGTAATCTTCCTTTTACTCCTGAAATTAAATTGTAGTTGATTGTATTAAATATTTAGGTGTTGAACTCGACACAACACTGCTGTTTAAAAAGCACATTTATTAAGCACAATTATTCATACTGTAAAATTTGTCTCAGTTAAGATTAATTTGTCACCACATGAGCCAAGCTTTTTATACATTCACTCTTTCATTTGGTAAACATTGTGCATTTCTGTTATGTGCAGTTTCAGAAACAGTGTGACATGCCCTCCTCCTCATGCGCACACACCAAAATCTGTCCTATTAACAGCAGTGGCGTTAGGGAACAAAAAACAGGAACGTATATTTAACTATTCAAATTACTGCTCATTTATGCAATAAAGATTTTTTTATGAGATTATAGTTTCCATTCATCTATTATAATGTATATGTAGGCCTAAATGTATTTTTGTAATTTGGAATATTCAGACCTGGCTTGTATGGACCAAAACAATCTTGCACGTTTTTTTTACTTTTTTCTCATCACTTGGATCACTCACCGTCAGCTGGATTCAAGCCAAGCACAGTCAACACAATCTGGCTAAACCAGCAAAATGTTTACTTTATTTTTACTTTTCATGCAATCCAAATGTTTGCCACCTGGTGGCAGTAAAGTACCAGTTAAAAGTAACATCAACAGAGCTTTTTGCAACACATGGAGCATTTGCCAGTTTGAAGAAATAGGCTAGTGTTTTATTAAGTACAACACAAACATAAACTGCACTGACAACATTTTTTCAATTAGTCTAACATACATTTCACCAACTGAACTACAAACGTCCGACAGAGTTTGATTTGAGGATTGTTCTTTTTGAGCTGGTGTAGTGGGGAGGTCTTCCTGTTGATAAAACTGATACAAAGATGCTCTTCTCTGTCCATTCCATGTGTATTGTACACACATACAGACCCTGCTCCTGTCATTCACCCTTGGTTACACTGGGAGAAAATGAAGAGGAAAAAGTTTAACTTAATCACATGTCATGGGTCATCTTGATTTCATGAAAGGCCTTAAAAGGTTTAGTACAACTGTTTCATTAACTTACCTAATAAATAAGACTTGGACCTCTGATGGTCCTGGAGAGATGATTAAGACAGAGGAGGTTAATAGCCTATTGGTCATGATTGTACTGCACAGCTAAAGTATCTGCTCATATTGGGCCTGCTGTTAGTATTTTCCATTGGGGATTATAGGACTGGGTTTCTGCCCCTCTTCACCCACTATGTGGCACTGCTTTGGGCCTGTCGACTCAGGGTAATGTGAAGAGTGTGATCATCTAGAGTCATTTTTAGAAGCTGTGGAGAGAAGCGCTGACATCACGGCTGCCCCCTCCTTCCACAGTCACTCTCCAGACTAATCCCTTGTTTTTCCCCTTGACAGGTCACCCCATGTATGGATGTGTCCTACATCCTGGTACAAATCCTCGACAAAAACTTTAAGCACTTTAAATTAGCAAGCAATTTTTCTGTCCATGTTTTCACAGCAGATGCACTTTTTTAACTTTAGAAATGAGAGAACCTCAGGACACGTTTTACTGCCATTGTCAACAAAGAACTCAGTGTTATGGTACAAACATAAAACAATGAATAATAATATAAACGATGATAAAATAAAAATAAACATAAGGGGAAGCATTAAAATAAGCCAATAAAAATAGACTTTGATATACTTCATTTGTAATGTGTAAAATTGTGGCAAAAATATATATAAAGAAATTTAATTATATAAATGCTAAAACCATATACATATAAGTATTTGCCTGACTTTGCCTGATTAAAAAGAGTCGAGAAGAGAATAAAAAAAATATCGTAGTTCCCATGGCAAAGTTACAATATATACAAAATTTATGGTGGATTCTTTCAAGTTACAAATCCTCTTGATTCATTCAGACTTGACCTTGGTCAAGATATTTTAGTGACAAGGGAGCTTGCATATCCAGTTAGTTTATTACTTTATGCAAAAATACAAAACAACAGTTTTGGAACATTTGTCATTTGGAACATTTGGTTCCAACTATATCTCATTTTGGTAACCTGACTGTACAGTAAGTGGACAGCTGGACCTACAGGTGTGAGAGTGCATCCAAACACAGAGAGGATGCTTTGGGATCTCAGCCGCCAAGTGCCAAGTCCCATTTAGAGGCGTCCAGGCTGGTATTTGACCCCATTCAAAAAGCTGTGTGAACAAGGACAACTTTGTAGTATGTGTTGCCCAACAACTGCATCCTCCCAGCGTGCTTATGTAAAACAGCTAAGAAAGGAAAGGAAGTCTGCAGTCAAGGTTAAACTAATAAAGTAGTGGTCCACTCTGTACGGCAGATCAGAACCAGTGGTTTAATGACTGTTCTGATGAATTGCCTTCCATGTATCTACAGCACATGTCTGGTGTCTGGCCACTGAACTTTTACTTTTCACTTTTGCTGATGCAGGGTCCAGTGTGTCAAATATTTCATATAAAAGCAAGTCCGGATTTAAAAGTTATTCAGACCTTTCTTATTCTACTGTATCCGGAAAGTAAAATAAAATACAGATTTCTATTAAGTTTGTTTTCACATACTTTGTTAAAATAAAGTAGACCCACATATAGTCCCTTCTTATCACAACAGTCCAACAATATTGTTTCCAATTAGATGTTATTGCTTTGCCTGAAATGTTATGATGTGTAAATGAAAAAATACAAGATATATTAAGGCCATTTTATGTACAATTATAAAGTAATATAATTTCCCTGGAGACACACAAGTGGCTGACCCTGCCCCCATAAAAGTTACACTCTTACTACTCATCTATTGCAACAAAGACAGAAAGTGATATAGTGATTCATAAAAGAAATGACTGGTAAGTTCTTTATTCAGCACTAAGCAGTCTATGGCCTGTGACTCTGACAGCTTCATCTTCATCTGTCTTCTTCTAATTATGGATTTTCTAAGTCTTTCTTTCTCCACTCTGCACATGATGTTTTAAGACTTTAATGTTTTTTCTCTTGTCAGCAGTAGAACACCAACACTGTGCACAAATCTGTCAGGCATCTAGTGAAAGAATATACCTCTCAAGTGTTTCAGGAGCTTGTATGAAAGTGTCAATGCCAAACAGCAATATGTCAGAGGCTATAAATAGAGTATTTAAGCTATAAAAACATCAAAATTGGAATTTCAAATCAGCAACCATTAATCTTTACCACATTAGCGATGTCCAAAAGCAGTAGGAGCAAATGGAAAAGGTTATTAAGAGACTTTTGAAAAAAGAAAACAACCATAAACAGTTTTGAGAATCACTGATGTTATAGTAAATATATGACTGGAGCTGAAAAGTTGACTTAAGGCTATCCATTATGGATAGCATATTTGTGAACTCACCACGAAAATGTCATCTTATTTGCCTTTCTCAGCATCTGGGAGCATGACCTCTATGAAAAGAAGAATATCTGATCATTTAGCACATACACTGATATTATGACACAATGATAATAACACGATTAAAAGATATTTTGGGATATTTGGATGTTTACGTACGTTTGACCTCTAGCTTGCAGGACACAGTGGCCTCTCCTTGCTCGTTCTTTGCTCTGCAGGTATACACACCCCCATCAAAGCTGCAGGGCTTTCGGATCTCTAGAGAGCAGATGCCCTGGTTGGAGAGCATTCTGAACTTTGGGTCGTCTCCAATGATCATCTGATTCTTCAACCACTCAATTTTGGGCTGAGGGAGACAAAGAGACGTAGTACATTTTAATAGGAACAAATGTTAATCTTGTTAAGTACCCATCTATTACGTCAATATAACAGTTTAGAAAAGGGGTAACCCTATAGCCCCATCCCTCCTTGGGTATGTCCTGCACTGGGTTTGGTTAACACTTGTGGATTTCCTGCTGGAATCTTGAGGCCCAGCGTAGGCAAGGTGACTCTGTTCATTGAATTACACTTCAGCTTATGCAGAGTCAAACTGGTGTACTTTTAAAAACGTTTTATGATTACCATTTATTATTTACTCATTTAAAGCCTTGTAATAATAATTTAATTACACAATTTTGTGCATTAGTCATTTACTCCCCATAGGCTTCATAACATGTACATGAATAGAAACACTGATAAATAGCCCATGGCGGGTAAATGGCAAATAGACATGTTCAGAAGACTATAGCCATGTATTTTATCTGCTTCTCCTCTGGAACACTTCACTAACACATTTTAAATGCAACTGTTTATCAGAGGCACCAAGACAATTTATCAGCATATCACGGATACTTAAAGTGATTGGTCTCAAGACTGAATTTAGAGATTAACTCTTGTAATACTTGTACTTGTAATAACATGCAGATTATTTATCATTGCCTCCTTCTGATTATCTTAGATGTTTCAAACAGCTGATACAGCTTCTGTTTCACCATGAGCAAAGGAGGCTCCCATAGTGTATTTACTGATACTTATTTCAGTCACAGGGTGCAAATCAGCAACTGTGTCTGCATTCTCAAACCCAAGTAACCATTGCCATATGCTTGGGATGAGCCATTAACACATTGTACAAGGGATTGGCCATGTTGCATACCTTAAGGTAAGCAAATCACTCTAAGATTCTGTTAGCTTCTCATATGGCACTGAAGTATTTACCCTCTAGATCTCTATTCCTTCATTTATATACCCCTCTTAAACCTAAACGTAAATGTATACACCTGCTCGTATAGTCCAAGGACATTTAGAACAACAATGAACTGTGTTTCAACTATGGCCTTGTGTTTGAACTGTCTGGGTCACACAGCTGTAGATATGTTTAACTGAAGAAGCTATGGCCAAGAACTGTGAGTGACTGCACACATACCAGTGCTAGCCCTTCATGAGATCTTTATAGCGGTGATATTGATACTCTGTGTGAAGTACAGTACTTCACAGCAAAACCATTTACTGTTGATCCATGTTAAAAACACACCCGGTAAAATAAAGCATGTAAACTTAAAAACAAAATCAAATCATGCAAGTACCTGTAATACACAGAGAAATAATACCTCCTTACTAACTTAAAGAGCACATGCAGGTTTTCTTTTGAATATTTAACACAGTTTTACAAAGTAGCAGTTTCTGAAGAAAACATTCAAAAGAAACACTGAAAATTAGAAGCAAGTTCTAAAAAGGTATCTCTCTATCTATGTAATCATCAATATAAAAATCCCACCCACAATGCAGAATTATTTATAATGTGGACTAAGCAAGATTTATCTTAATCTTGAAAGGTGCATTATGTAACTTTTTGATTTGGGGTCCATCACCTGCTTGATTCTGTGGATATGTCATTGCTCTCTCTGTTCCACTATGTTCCACAGTACAACATTAAACAGCTCTATCTTACATTTATTCAATTACAGATGGTTTTATAGCTCAAAAATACTTAGAAAAACAAATATTGTGACTGTGAGTGGGGTTGCCTCTCCATAAATCTAACCTGTAACTTGGTCTGGTTTGGTCTCCATGTTGATTGAATGATTTAATATCATACTGTGGAACATTCCAGACAAAGCAATAATATCTCATGAAGAAAAGCTTCTGACCACCAAAAAAAATACACATGTTAAGAAAATTTTAGTGTCATTTTAGCATAACCTGTCATACACACACACTGCAATAAAATCACAAAGGGGAATTTTCAGATCCTAACCCTGGGAGATCCGCGGACTGAACACAGCAGTTTGGTGGTGTATCCCACGGTGGCGGCGCGGTCATTCAGAGCCGTGGTGAACTTAGGTGCCTCGCTGAAGTCATGCTCAGGGTACTCCGGTGGTTTGTACACAATACCTGCAACATAATAGTTGTGACTAAATAGTATTATAACAACAAAAAACAGAGCTCAGAAATATGGGGCAAAAAATGTATTACTTTTTTTCCTCATATGGATAAACCTTGATTTTTTAAAGGTGACTTGTGTAACTTTTCACTTTTCTGGTAGAGGGTCCGTCAAAAGCTTTTCTCCGAGATGTTCTGGCTTTGTCTAGAATGTTTCACTGTATAGTATTAAGCTTTTTTATCTTCATGGAAACCAAACCAGACCAATTTAAAGGGTTAAGGGTCAGAGGAAAACCCGCTCACAGTCAGAATGCCTGTTTTTTTGTTGTTTTTTTAAGAAATTTTTGAGCTATAAAACCACCTGTAATTGAATAAATGTAAGGTAGAGCTGTTTAATGACGTACTGCGGAACATTCCAGAGTTACACAATGCACCTTTAAAGTTTTTTTCTTTTCATAAAGAAAATACAATAGCTTTGAGTGTTCATTTTATGGACATAAACAATACAATCTTTTAAAAAGGTCCATTTAACACAAAAATAGCCAAAGTCTGAATTCTACATTTAAAATATCCAAGCATATCAATGTCAACTGGGATGACTGAATCTCAATCTTGATTAAATTTGATTGTCACCCTAGCAACGGTGTTTGGTTGTGACACAAAAAGGTTATTGCCTCTCTGTCATGGCATTGGTTTGTAAATTGGATCTGAATAAATCTTAGATGATTTGAATGTGTTCTCAAAAAGCTTTATGCACAAATTGTGAAAGGAAGAGCATCATTGGCTCTGGCAGTTGTGTGTATGTTGACAAAGCTTTTCAGATGTATTTTAGTAAGAGCAAAGTCCTGCCAATTGAGCTGCCACTTGTGCTTGAGGACAAGATCCTTTTCACTCCTGGATAACTCACCTGAAATACACAGACACAAATACGCAAACTCAAGTGTCATGAAGGAGAGCAAATCATTAATAAAAGCTACTTAGAAGACTGATTTTGCAAGTAATGTACTAATTTTAAAGTAATGTTACTTCAAAATAATATTACTTGAGTATGAGTACAAAATAGCACAAAAGTATTTGGGGAAACTACTTCTCAACATATGATTGGGGAAACTCAACATATGATTTATGGTTTATTTATGATAGACCACAAAAAGGAGAAAAACTAAATCATATCTGAATGCACAAAACATCAGTGTTAAATATAAATTAATAGACTTACAGAGGGAAGTTCATTTTTTTCTTGTACTAGTACTTGATACTCAAGTAAATATAACTGTACCTACCTCTAAGAATGAATATAGAAATACAGCGGTGTATAGTGGATCACCTGTCTTTTGGATTTGGGCTACGTCCTTTGTGACAGCACAGCTCTCACTCTTGCCCACTCGGTTCTCGGAGAACACCCTGAATATGTAAGTGTTTCCCATGATGAGGTCTGACACAGTGGCAGTGAGTCTGTGATAATGCTCCAACACTGTGAACCATTCCTGAGCACAGACAGAAGCAGAGTTTATTCTATGACAGAAAGAAACATGTGCAGATTTACTTTCCATAATTGTAATATGGCATGTTGGTGGATTTATATAGCACTTTTGAGTGTCCAAAAATACTATATAAATTTGATCCATTATTATTATTATTATTCATTCATTATTTGTAAGTGACATGGCGAGTGACTAAAATCTGAGCAAACAAAAAGTAAATTTGAGCAAAGAGATAGGTCCACTCAGGAAATTCAGCACGATGGACAAATATGAGGCATTTTGACTGCCCATGTTATTGCCACTCAAAGTTGAGGGGATTTAATTTTTTACAGTCCTGTTTAACTTTTCATAGAATTGATAAATATGGGTGCAAAATGGATGTTTTACTGTTCACTGGTGATGACTGATCTCTTTAATTTGTTATATGATCCAGTGTTATGGTAGCCTTTTCTCACCCCTGTCTTCTGGTCTGCTTTCTGCACAGTGTATCCAGTGATTTCGGTGTTGCCATTGTCCTTGGGAGCAGTCCATTCCAGAGCTGCATTGAAGCCCCAGGTGTCCACCAACTTGACACTGGCTGGAGGTCCAGGCAACTCTAAGCACAGCACATGACCCATGACCACACTCTTACACAAGGGCTTCAACATTAGCTGTCAAGGCATGATGATAAGTGTCCACTATAGTGTGCATGTGGCTGGTTCAAATGCTGTGAGGTCAAAGAGCAACTGTCAGCAGTGTAAATATTCTTGCTAAAGTCTTGGCAGCCTTAACCCTCTCCAGGCAGGTGTTGCAGATTTGCAACATTCCAATTATTTCCAAATAATTTCAAATTCCAATTACCTACTTACTCTAAGTCCATATTTTATGAGCTTTTTTTACTCAGGAGCCTTTTCTCCCATCCATGCTGATAAACGTGGACGATGCAGACTGTGCAAGAATGGCTACACACAAACGGTCTGCCAGAAGTGCAAAATACTTTTTTTGTTTACAAAGGATAAAAAAGTCAGGATTGTATATTATTCCCCATATTATAATTTTCCCCAAATATCAGATTTTTCCTGATACTAAAAATTAATTTGAGCCTGAGAGGGTTAAAGTAGGCTGGAGAGCTAGCATGTATACGTATGCAGTATACAGTATATAGAACACAGTACTCACTATACGTGTAAGGTTTTTATGAAGTTATACGCACCCACAATCTGCAGTGTGATGGTGGCCTTGTCTTCAAAGCTGTCCACTTTAACGGTCATCTCAAACACTCCTGAGTCCTCCCTCTGAGCAGAGCGGATGAATATGATGCTGTCTTTGTCACTGTTTCTGATATTGACTCTTTTAGTGTCCAGAGGCTGCCCATCTTTCAGCCATGTAACAACAGGGCTTGGCTTACCCTGAGGTACACAGGAACAGACAAATGAATATCTAAATAATGTAATGGTGTGTATATATTGAATATCTAAATAACGTTTTGGTGTGTATATATTTGGAGCTACTTTTGGGATTTTGCTTACAAGGAAGGGGATGACCAGGTTGATCTGTGCTCCAACTTGTCTGACATAGCGAGCTCGGAGAATGCGAGGCATGCGAATCTTGGGGCGATCTGAAAAACAAGCCGTTTAAAATGATATCTATTACCCAGTGACCTACTCCAAAAAATTCACATGACACGATCATGCGCAATGTATTGCATTACATTTTTACCAAGTGACATCATCTGTCTACAAATCTACATCACTCAACCTTTTGACAGCTACAGATACCTTTACCTGGCATGAGATATATGATGCGTGGCTACCGTCTGTCAACAAACAGTAAACATTTTATGGAAAAATGTTATAGTTACTTATAATTATAGTTTAATAGTCACTTATAAGTATAGTTTACTTATAAGTGACTCATATAAAATTATTGTAACTAGTACAAACTTACACTGCCAGATGTGCATGTTAACAACTTTATCTGACAGACAGGACACAGTATCCAGGCAGACAGGCTAAAGATGAAGGAGGAACAACTCCTAAAATAGCATAGATGACGTGAACATCTTGGGTGAACTCCAACACGTGTCAGCTCATGTCGTGTGTGTAGAAGCTGCTGTAATATGTCATCACTTTGAGATATCCAGACACAGAAGAAAACAGCAAGCAACAAAATAACGGTTCAGTTTGGCTTTAAATCTAAAGCAGGAAAGTGCACTTTGTTTGTGAGTACAACTTTAGTCACTTTGCTGAGTGGTTTAGCAGAGGCTAGGCGCTAAATCCCAGGAACAGCATCACTTGCATGTATCTGCATAAGCAGCAAATGTCTCAAAAGCTCCGAGGGCTTACGGGATATATAAAACCAGCAGGGCCATATTTCATGTTCTGCCCGGACCTTCCTGTCCATATTAAAGCTCATTCACATACTCGTACCCATTTTCATAGACAGTTTAAGCCACTCCAATACTGCTCACTAGATATGATCCAACTTCTACACTCCAACTCCAGTGCAGCATCCCACCTTGGCTTAAGTACTAATCTGTTCTAATTATCACACCTTCCAACAATGGTCAGACCTGTTGGATGAAAGCCCCTGCAAACAATCTCCAGTCACTTTCTGTTTCTGGGCAAAGGGATTTTCATAAGGGGCTTTAAGTGTACAATGTGCACCCGTGTTATGAGGACAGGGACGGACTGACTGACATGCCACCCAAAATCCATCAATTAGGCTTCAATTTCAGCTCCCCTTAGTTGACCAGCTGGTTTGATTACAGGCAGAGTTTTTTCTGTCACTGTCTCCTGTTTGGTTACTGAGTTTGGAAATCCCAAACAGAGAGAACGTTTTTCAAAACAGACCACTGGATACATCAGATCAACAAACATATTACACAAATGTGATGTTACAGAGAAGTCAGTAATAGAAACTAAATAACAGAGAAAAGAATACAACAATAACACAAGGAACACACAAAAAACATGAATATTACATTAAAATGATAAAATGCATAAAATAAGTTAATTTTTTTTCCCTTTTTGTTTTGTTTAACTTAGCGGTGGCTGTTGATGTGAGACTGACAAAGTTGAGAGGTTGATTTATAGCTATATGAAAGGCCTTGTCGACACCTTTAGATTTATGTGCAAACGTCTGCTCAGTCTATCTGAAGACCGGCCAGTTAATCCCACCCCACATGCAACATGAGTATTTTAAGGAGAGCTCCCAGGTTGCAACCATCATCAGTGACCCTGATAGAGAGCTTGGAGGTGAACAAATTGAATCGCACCTTGACACAAGTAAACATCAAGATAGGACTACACAGTATATCATCTTTCCAAACATATACTATAAATAATAAATATAAATATTGTACTGTTTTTGTAGTGATATACTTAGTCCAAATTACTTGTTTGTTTAATTTGTATTGATTGTGACTAAATACTACTATTAAATACATGAATGAATTATTTATCTTCACATTTATGCATATTAAGTAGCCATAGTGCATTTTTGAATTTTACTCCGTGTTATTGTGACAGTAGCTACTCACCAACAATTTCACGGATGGTCACAGGAGCAGCGAGGGCCCCAGGTTCACTGCGGCCCCCAGCGTTTACAGCTACCACGCGCACATTCAGCAGGTCACCCGCTGTCAGATTTTTAATGCAGAAGCGGGTGGTAGAGGTCAGCTCCTCGTTAGCCACCACCCAGTCTGTCGCTGTGGGAATAAGGAAGCTAGTGTTAGAGGACAACTTTAACAAGAATATCTGGAAAGGCACATTAGGACAACTTTAACAAGAATATCTGGAAAGGCACATTAGGACAACTTTAACAAGAATATCTGGAAAGGCACATTAGGACAACTTTAACAAGAATATCTGGAAAGGCACATTACACATTTAACTATGTTTATTTTATCAGACATTCCTAAAGTGCTGATTCATGGTGCTGATAGAAGTTTTTAATAGACTATTTAATACTGTTAACAGTACTATCTGAGGTTAGCATTTTAGTAAATTGTTACATATTGCACTTCACAACTGTGTGAACTTCTTCAGGATGATGATATTTAATAAAGTGTTAAGCATGTTTTAATGGGCCATGTTAAGTGGTTTATCATCTGTCGACACAGGTTTACAAACACACAGGACACAAGAAGTACACTTTGGCTACCGTGTCGAAACCTCATCTGGAGAAGAAGCTTGTCTAAAAGCGGTGGGAGCCGATTCAATGACAGTTGGTTGAAATGCTGCCTGCCGTATACGGGCCTGTAAGTCTATGAGTGTACATGGCCTGTGACACGGGTGAGACAGGTGCAGCAGATGCATACTGTACATACAACAGAATCTAGACTTACTCCCATCTTTGCAGTACTCCACAGTGTATCCATCCAGACCCGAGTCCCCGATGGTCTCCGGGGCTGTCCAGTTTATGGTCAAACTGTTGTCGTTTACGTCCTCCACAGCAACATTCAGGGGAGCACTGGTGGGGACTGGAGCAAAGGCAAGAAGGCTTCATTAGTAAATCCCAGTATGCACAGTATGTTAAACCTATGAGTCAATTAAGTTTATGAGACACTTGTTTTACACAGTGAAACAGTAAATGGAATCAATTTATGACAAATGCTTTCTGGAAATGGTATTCTACAGACTTAGTCTTTAAGCCTTAATTACACCCTTGAAGTAATACGGACAGGTTACCAACATCACATGAATGTTACCTGGAGGAGGTGGGGGTGTGGGGGCCTTAGGAGGCTCCTCAACAACTGCAGGTTCAGCAGGAGCTTCAGCTATCATTAGATAAGCAGCAAAACAATCATTTTAGTTGAAGCAATAGCATGAGCTAGGTTAGCAATGTAGATATCCATTAGAAAAGATATATCCGGAGCATCCAGGCTATGTGAAAGTTAATGTAACATTTACAACTGTTGAGGTCTAAGTGCACTGTACTTAGTGGCAGAGGTAGCCTTTATCCTGCCACTTGTTTACCCTCAGCGGGAGCCTCTGCAACGGGAGCAGCGCCTTCTTCTGCCACCACAGCCTCTGCAGCTTCAGCAGGCGCCTCTGCTACTGCAGATTCCACTACTGCAGCCTCAGCAGCCTCTGGGGCATCAGCCACTGGGGCATCAGCCACTGGAGCATCAGCCACTGGAGCATCAACTGGGGCATCAGCCACTGGGGCATCAGCCACTGGGGCTTCAACTGGGGCATCAGCCACTGGGGCATCAGCTAGTGTTAAAAATACCATTGGGTTAAGCTAAATTATAATACTAATCATGCAACAAATGTTTGTGGCTGAAGCAGGCAGCACGTCAGGACAGCTGTCATGAGAACTGGTTTATGAACAGATATATTCAACACATAACTGACGAAAAGGGCATGATAAACACATAAATTAGACGATGCTATGTCCTTGACCAAAGAACTCACCACTGTACTTGATTTGGCAGCTGATAAGTTAAAGTTTATATTGAACATTTATAATTTTACACTCTTAAAACTTGGTGTTTCACTTGGTTTTCAACTTTCCAGTCTCTATCAAATAATAATAAAAAAAAAACATTCTTCAGAAAGAGTTGCATTTGCAGGTGTTTAAACTGACTCTTGTCGACTGCATACATGTATAATAGCACACATGATGATGAGACAGTGACAGAGCCACATGGAGAGAGCAGGTCTACAGGAGCAGGTCATGCAGTGTGTTTACCCTCCGCTGCCACATCTGTTGGAGCGGCTCCTTCCTCGACTGCTGCAGCTTCAGCTAAAGTTAGGGTTATACATTCAGGTTAGTAATAGCACAAAAACGTCACAGTCCACCACCCAAAGCTACCAAATGTCTGTTGATCATATTATCAATGCGTCAATGTCTATGGAGCTTATGAGAAGTGGACAAGATGTAACTTGTTACAGTAAAAATAAATTTAAGATGAATCATGATTCCTTAAAATGCTAATCAAGAAATCATAGCAATATTTTAAAACTTTATGCAGCTTTACAAAACTAAAATGGAATATGCAAAACAATCACAATTAAAAGCTGAGTTATAGAAAGCCAGGATAACAGTAAGTAAACTGGCATCTGTGGGCTCTATAAGTTAGCCTATAATTTTGACTTACCTCTTGTGCATTAAAATCTTCTTGGATATAGCAGGTCAAGACTTATCTTTTATCTCACTGGTCAGCGGGCAACTTTTAAAGGAAACAGACTATGCCACTTACCTGCTTCATTATTGTCAAGTGAAGTCTTCAGCAGCCATGCAAACATCAAACTAAAACGGTGTGAGCTATTGGTATTTGCTTCTCACTCAACTCAGTGAGGATTGTACAATTGGATCTCTCTGTTTATGTGGTAACCTACTTCAATATCAGACTCAGTCCAATTCTCAGAAATTGGCAACACAACTGAACTCCCCACAAGCCTTGCCGTAGGAAAAAATAAGGCAGCCTAGGTATTTGTGGAGTGGAGTTCTCCTTAATAGGCTGTCCATCTTTGTACCTGGCGGGCCTGCCTCAGCTGCAGGGGAGTCCTCTGCTGGAGCGGCCGGTGCCTCTCCCTCTGCCGCGGGAGCTGGCTCTGCTGGGGCGGCCTCAGGGGCGCCCTCGGCCGGAGCCTCCGCTGGCGCAGGGGTGTCCGCGGGCGGGGCCTCGGCGGGAGCTGGCTCAGGGGCGGCCTCAGGTGCTGACATCGTTGTGGGCTACAACTAGTCCTCAGGAAAAGACCTTGAAGTGAGCCTCCCATAGATCTAAGCCATATATATATAGACCTGTGATGTGGTGGGGACGTACGGAACTCCACCCACTTCATAACTCTGGACTTTAACCTTCTTCACTTCATCTGTACGACTGTATGTAAGCTATAATCTTCTGGCTATGCTATAATAGACTATAAAGCCTATTACTATATAGGCCCATGCTCATTTATAGTCCTTAGTAGGACTCACCTGAATTTATTTACTTTGTATGGTCTCTTAGAACGATTTGAATCACACACAATAGCGCCCTCCAGTGGAAATCACATGGCATGATTTTATTATGACAAATGCTTCATGTTAGACATATGAGTTTGATGAGGTTATAGAGGCATGCCATACAACTCATACCAGACCCCATTAAACCAAGTGCTTCTTCCTCCCCTTGTATAAGAGGAAGACTATACAACCAATTTACATACAAGGGTCAGGTGATAATTTAGCTCTCGACACATTTGAATGATTGTTGTCGCAGATGCACAAAGTATTTACAATGATATACAAGAATAATGCATGTACAAAAGAGAAAAGAACATATACAAATATTTGCATAAGAAAACAGAACAAATAAAAGATATCCAGTTATTACCCTTCCCACCCACCCTCCTCTCCCTTCTGACATAAATTAGCTATGGTATAGGTCCAATAAAAGGATACTTTGGAAATATTTTAGGGGCACATGCGCTAGCATTACATCTCCCATTCTCAGCGCTCAAGTAAACTCTCTATTCTTTGTTACTCACAGTTATTTTGTGGCTCAAAAATAACTAAAACCTCACAATCAGACCACACTAATTTTGTTAACAAACTGCCTATCACTGCAGCCAAGTAAAATAAAAATCCATCTTTCATACAAGGTGACAAGAGAAAAGCCAGAGGAAGTGGTGTAGCCTCCTACCTATGATAAATACCACTCTCTAGCGAGGCCTCATTGCGGTTAACAACTTCCCTAAAGCATTAGGTTGATCTGTGTTTCAGGCACAAACAGAAGACAGAGGCATCTCATCTCTGCTTTAAAAACAGAGGTAAATCAAACGTATTCTAGTGAGGTACTATAGAACCAAAGGAACAACATTTAACTGTTTAAGCATTCAATTTGTCCCCTTTCCAATGCTGTTATAAATGTTCTGAAAGTTAACAGAAATAAACTCACTGTATTGAGAGACATTACCACTTGTGCAAAATAATGTGTGGAAAAGGGAAGAGAAAGAGTGACACTTTGATCAGCGGTGTGCAAAGATCATGATACCAGCTGTCTAATATGTTATGTTAAGTCATTTTTTGTAACAGCACCGTGGCAAGTAATACAGATGACAGTTTTTGACTCAGTATAAAATTCTATAAAATCATGTTTTAATTGTGTATATGAAACTGTTAAACTGTTATCTAAATTTGCAAGCAAAAACAGAAAAGGCTGTTTTGACAGGCCTTTTTTTCTTTTTTTTAACATTCATCTTTAAGACATATTTGGTGTGTTCTGTCAAAATGCCTTCACTTTAAACCTTTTTTCCAAATCACATAATATTGTATATCCATGCATGTCATTACTATTCACATCTTTCAACTGCATTGGCCAAAAGAATAAACACTTAATTTTGTTATTTGTGGTTGTTAGGTGAGTGCTGCCCTCTAGAGGAACCACCTATATTTGGATAATCCCATGCTTTCTAATGTCACTAACCCAGCTTCAATTCCCAAGTAGAAAATAAAGTGCATTTTTAGCTATTTTAGCTGGAGTCACGGTGTTATACAGTCCCTGACAAAAGTCTTGTCGCTTATCCATTTTGTAGAAACAAAAGCTTATAACCTGACTTTAAATTAATCGATTGGTTTTAGAAATGTCTCATATGAAAGCTAAAACCCTCCCAAATTATGCTCAATAAACTAAAATAAATTTGCTTCACTGAAGAAAGATTGACCATTCAATGAACACAGAAAGGTCAGATTTTGGCAAGACAAAAGTCTTGTCGCCTTGTCATATGATGCACCCAATCCTAGATTACAGCCTCACCTCTGATCAGTTACTGATCAATCAATTAGCGGGTGTGTATAAAAAGAACCCCAGCACACCAGACCTTCACATCAACTGCAACTTGACCTCTGACAACATGCCTAAGATCCACCCTGAGACCAAAGCGTTAATTATCAAGAGGCTGAAGACCAGATCCACTGCTGAGGTGGCTGACACCTTCAATGTGTCTCAGCGTCAAGTACAAAGAATAAGAAAAAGATCTGAAATGACTGGAGATGTTTTTAACAAGCCCAGGTCCAGCAGACCCCGCAAGACAACTGCTCGGGAGGACCGTTTGTTGATTCGAAAATCCAAGGCCAGCCCCTTTTCCACTGCAGCAGAGCTCCACCAGGCCTGGTCACCTCAAGTCCCTGTGTCAACCAGAACAGTTTGTAGAATTCTGTCCCGAAATGGCCTCCATGGTCGAATCAGTGCACAGAAAACAGCACTAAACAAAAGGCAATTAAAAAACCATGTGGCATTTGCCAAGGCCCACAGCCTGCTAAAAGGATGGACACTGGAAAAGTGGCAGAAGGTGGATTTCTCAGATGAATCCTCGGTTGAATTACATCACAGCTGCCGCAAATATTGCAGGAGACCTACTGGAGCCCACATCGATCCAAGATTCACCCAGAAAACAGTTAAGTTTGGTGGCGGAAAAATCATGGTCTGGGGTTACATCCAGTATGGGGGTGTGCGAGACATTTGCAGGGTGGAAGGCAATATCAATAGCCTAAAATATCAAGAAGTATTAGCTACCTCTTACATTCCCAATCATAAAAGGGGTCAAATTTTGCAGCAGGTTGGTGCTCCATCGCATACTTCTATCTCGACATCAAAGTTTCTCAAGGTGAAGAAGCTCAAGGTGCTCCAGGACTGGCCAGCCCAGTCACCAGACATGAACATCATTGAGCATGTCTGGGGTAGAATGAAAGAGGAAGCATGGAAGGCAAAACCAAAGAATCTTGATGAACTCTGGGAGGCATGTAAGACGCTTTCTTTGCTATTCCTGATGACTTCATCAACAAATTGTATGAATCATTGTGGAACCGCATGGATGCAGTCCTTCAAGCTCATGGAAGTCATACAAGATATTAAATATGGATCTCACAGCACCACTACTTAATTCACTGACATTATGCAACATATTTTTGTATTTGAAGTAAATTATTTGTTCAATTTTCTGTAGGCGACAAGACTTTTGTCTTGCCAAAATCTGACCTTTCTGTCTTCAGTAAGTGATCAATCTTTCTTCAGTGAAGCAAATTTATTTTAGTATATTGAGCATAATTTGGGAGGGTTTTAGCTTTCATATGGGACATTTCTAAAACCATTCGATTAATTTAAAGTCAGGTTATAAGCTTTTGTTTCTACAAAATGGATAAGCAACAAGACTTTTGTCAGGGACTGTATTTGGGGAGACTTTCTTGTAAAACTCTAAGCCATTGATTTAGAAAGCACCAATAATTATTGAAATAATTCTGGCAGTAATTACAAAGGGGAAGATTCTTGGAAAAAATTTGCATAATACTTTCTATGGTAACCATGCACCATAAAGTCAATAATGAGAAGTGACAAGTCATTGTCTTTTCTTGCCTATGAAATCACAGTTTCCATCAAGAGCAGGTTTAATGTCTTTTCATCTCCAGCAATCCCACTGTTGTATGTCCATAGAAGGCCCAGTATGTAGTGCCATAGGTGGACTATACTCAAAGTGTGGTTTGAAGAGTGGGATCCAAACTGCCTTCCCGTTCCGGAGACTCGATGTAGTTGGCAGATTCTTGAAGCTTAAGAAGCATGGCCATCTAGATAACAGAAAAACAGTAAGATACATGAATGCACATATACTAAAATAAAACAATAATATAATATATATATTTCCCAAATAATTGTTTGCAGACGCAAATTGGTCTAGTTCAAAATAATCAATTACTATGACAAGAAATCGAATGAAAAGCAATATGGATTCAATTCATTAGCATTAATATGTAAAATATGTAGACACACCAATGGGTCTGCCTCAAGAGAACTTGGGGGAGGAGTGTCTTTGAGAGGCTTTTTGTCTTCACTGGACGCACTGACACTGGGTGGAGGTAGGTGGAAGAGCTTGGACTGGTCTTGCTGAGCATTGGGCCAGGGCAGGGTGCCTCGTACCCACTCCACTGGGTCTTCCCAGACTGCTTTCTGCCCATGCACCTAACAAACACACATATAGTTATTTCACTAAATTAGGACACCATACTAATAATAATTATCTTACTTCACAGCTTACCTTGATACCATCTTTTGCTCCCTCTTGTAAGTATGGAATAATTGAGTGGTTCCATAGATCAATAAACCATTGCCTAAACTCTGACACGGAAACAGGGCATGACAGGAAGAAGCAAGGACCTGGAAAATAGTTTACCAAATTATAACCCACATCTGTGTAATAAATATACAGTGTAGCCATTTTAAAATATTGTCAAAATGTTTTCTGTGTCTTACCTATAAGGAAGTCTGAAGTGCTGTGTTTTTCCAGGAAAGTGTGCAGGTGGTACCAGAGCTGAGAGACCCAGTCTAATACATGCATCAGAGCCTGGTGTTGTGTGGCATCTAGTTCCCTCTGCTGGTACGTCTCCACAGCTTTCCGATGCAAGTACCGTACAAGGAAACCATTCGCTGGCTCCACATTATTGGAAAATGTAATCATTCTGTTCAATAAAAATATGAAAGACTTGTGTTACTTTAAGTATAAAAATATCTGAAGAGTGTGAGTGTTTCCCTGTTCTTACCTGAAGCTGAGGTGCAAGCCGAGGTTGGAGTTCATTTTCACAGGCTGATTTGTTGTCCCAATAATGTAAGGACTGTTTAAAATAAAAATAGCAGTTAGAATTTCCAAAATGTGACCATGACATGCAAGAAAAAATACAAGTTTACATACCATTTGTGATATTTGCAGGTCAATGCACCATTTACAAGCTCTGTGATGGCTGAAGCATCACTGATATCATCTATGATTATGACCAAAGGCAACTCTCCACTTTCTCTGTCAATCTGATTTGCTAAATTAGACAAATACAACTGCAGATCCTACCAAATAAAACGTACAATCAGTCAGTGAGTATTCACGTGTGAGCTATGTAACAAGTAGGAGTAATTTGAGTCAGAAGTAGTACCTTTTGAGACTGTTGGTGCATATTGAAGGTGACAGCAGAGATGCGTCCCGGAAGACAGGACTCTTGCTCAGCTTCATGTGGACCACACAGGCTGCGCTGCTGGAGGTAGTGGCACAAGCGCTGGGCCAGGTAGGTCTTCCCTGTGCCGCTGGGCCCAGACAGGACCAGGCGCCGGTGCTTCAGTAACAGGCTGATGTAATGCAGCATCATGGGCTTTGGAACCAGAGTCTCAAACACCAAAGCGTCCACACATTTCTCTCGAAGGCCTGAGAAGAGGCAGAAACCTTTACAGCAGTGCACACAGAAACCTCCAAAAAAGAACAACAAGCAAGTAAGCATTACTATTTTGGTGAAATGGATTTAATGCAGGTGGACAAACAATGTATAATAATATTTGGTAGGATTGTCATAGACCTGGTTTGATGTCAGGCAGAGGTAGTTTTCCTCTTAAAACTACCATACCTTTTACCTTCTGTTCAACAAAGACTGACAAGTCCAGGGCTAAAATTATCCAAATGATTATAGTGAAGGTGTATGGAGTTTAAAAACACAAAGGAACACATCCTGTGTTTCCACATGACATCACAAAAGAGAGAGAAATACCTCAGCCTAAATATACTATACAGAGTTTGTGTGTCATATATGTATGAATGAAACAAAACACAACTCCAGGTATGTTTTTGATGGGGAAACATTACTAGTATAAGACAGACCAGGTTATAGCTTAATATGGACCCTTTAAAGGTTATTAAAACTAATTTTAACTAGAGGGGGAATAACCAACCTTTCAGAGTGACCAGTATCTTGGCTTGACCATTGCCAAGGCAACGATAAGGCAGCGTCTGGGGTCTGTCTCCTTCCATCACTCTCTGCACTCCCTGGTTCAGCTGATACATGAGCAGGGAATCAGATGAGAGACCCAGGCTGGATGTGGGATCCACCTGAGCAAGGTAGTCCTAGAAAAGCACACACCAGTTAGCGAGTGCCATATAAAACAATAAAATAAAACAAATGCATTAGACCAGTCACTTACTTTAAAAGTTTTAGAGATCATGGAGTCTAGACATGCCCAGTCAGTTCTTCCATTGACCACAAATGAGCCCAGGAAGAACAATTGCTGCTTACCATCCTATAGAAACAAAGACGGTGAATGACACTATGATACTAGAGCTTGTATTATTTATTGTGACAGATTTTAAATATACCTCAACTTGGTCACAAATGCGAACTAGAACGTGTGCACAAACATCGTCTTTGTGTAACGCATTGTTTGCCACAACATTATTTGACACCTCTGTAAGAAAGAGGAAATTATCATACCCAGACACAAAAGAGAAATGATCGAAAGGGCACTAGTTAAATATTTACCAGCATCTTTACAATCATTCAAACTGAGGCTGAAGGATTTGGTGAGACTTGTTGGTTTTTTTCCAGACGTCCCGAGCAGAGATGCAAGACCTGAAGGCTGCGATGTGGAAGAGGTGGGGCCAGCAAGGCTCAGCATGCTTCCAGTTTTCAGGTGGTCATTCTCTGCTTTGAGGTTCTCTACTGTTGACTATTACGGACATTTAAGAAGTTATTACAATTGTGGGGTTAAGTATAAAAATTCAATGAGATAATATAAATTGAGCCCAAACAAACCTGCATATTGTTCATGGCCTCTTTGAGTTGCTCGAGTTGATGGGCGGAATTTAAGGCCTCCAGTCTGATATCTGTGAGTTCTCTTTCTTTGTCCCAAAGTTCAGTGCGCAGATCAGACACCATCCTCTCCTCCTCCTCTCCCTCCTCAGCTGCTTCATTTATTCTAATAGGTCATACGATTTCCCGTCAGTTTACCATACATAGTTGAGACTGGCTCACACATATAAAACGATGTAATCTATAGTTGTGTAACTGTATATACTTACACACAAGATGTGGTAGAGGCTGATGTTGTCAATGATAAAGGTGCATTTTCACCCCCATCCACACTCTCATGAGGCATCTTCGGAGAATTAGGAGCTGAGGAGTCTGGGGTGACGATTTCTTCAATGTCGGAGTAGGTTTTGGTTCCTTTCTTTATGCTGAAAGCTTTGTTGAAGGAGCTCCTTAGCTAAAGAAAAACATAATGCAATTTAATTATTTTAAAGACTTGTGATAATGGTTATTTTTGAGAATTACTTGTTTAAGTTCTTTTAAACAGTGCTTTTGATATTGTATTACTACTACATGCACATTATATATCAAAGCTGTACAAAAAGGACAATCAGACAGTTACAAGTTAGCAAGTTCATATCATCAGACTACAGGTGCACAGAAAGATTAATGATTAAACTACTCACTTATTACAGGTTAAGTAGTGTGGGACTTATTGTGTGAAAAACAAATTGGGGACCCAGGGAATTTCAGCTAGTCATACTTTGTTACCATTTGTCGCATGTAGTTGTAACTTACCCAGCTCTTTTTCTTCTTCTTTTTTGCATCTTGGTCTTTGAGACTCCCCAGACTAGACATACTGGTCAGACTGTTAAGACTAGAGATGCTTTCGCATGAATTCTGACGTCTAATGCGTAAATCTTTGGAAAAGAAAGAATAATAACTTATTATAGCAAAAGCATATGTACACTGAGAAGAAAATGTCTATGTCATAATTGTTTCCAAACCGTTCATGTTGTCTGGGTTGTTTAAGGCACCTTGGATCACAGCCTGAGCTTCATCGTTCTTGGCCTTTAGAGCTTCTATCGTCTCCCTTAACTCCATTAACTCCGTGTCCTGGTCAAAAAGAAAACAACAGAATATTTCTCTTTAGTTATCTACAATGTAGAATTATGCAACTTGTATGACCATGTGAGGAGTGAGACCAGAATAATAAAGCTTCTGTATAGCTTGTATCATTGTTGTTGTATAATTGTTGTAAGTGCTCATTGTGGTCTAAATGGGATTGACTGGTGCATCTCCACAAGGTTAAAGGCACTGCGCTGTTCCGGTCATTGCCCTGGCACTAACAACAAAGAGCATTTCTGCAGTGATCCAGACAGCAGCCTTTCAGTGGGAGCACCAGGGCATGAACAAACCAGGGAGACTCCTTACACACCGCTATCCCTGCTCCAGGCAATCATCAGTGCACTCACAGCACACAAATACAAAGGGGCAAGAATGCAGGAATGTGACGGTTTGTATGAGCGCACGTGCAAACTATTTACTCTCCTGTCGGCTTTATACTCGGCTGTTAGGTCATATTTTCTTACAGTGCTTCTCTGACCTCTGCCAACTGTAGTTGCCACAGTAGCAGGATGCAAAAAAAAAAAAAACAAAACTAAAAAAATAACAGAAAACTGCCACCACTTACAAAGAACAGACATCTACAAAGGCCTTTCTCTTATAACACTTGCAGGGATAGAGGTCCTAGGACCCACCAAAGCCTTATTACAAAGTCTTACTCCATGCATACTCTAGCATATTCAGTTCTTTAATTAATGTTAAATCTTACTTAACAGTTTGGAACAGTGCTGTTCATTGGTAGTAGGCCTACTAGTTATATGTGGTTCTATTGTATGGATTGAAAGAGTCTGGATGAGCACAGGAATGTGCAGATCGTGTGTGTTTTTGTTTAAATGTGTGGACATACAGGGTGCGGCTGGATAGTTACCTTCTGCTCATGGCTCAACGACAGCGACTGCAGCCGTGACGTCATTAAGGCTAAACTCTGCTCAAATGCTGCCACAAGATTGGCCTGTTTAGAGAAAGCAAAATATTTATATAGATTTAACCAATAAAATACTTTTTTTCTATCAAGTATAAAAACTAAACAGTGTCCATATCTTCGCTAGTCACTATACAGACATTCCATAATGTGCACTGTTTCAGGTAAAAGCTCAAAAGTAGGTGTGAAATCTCCTCGTCTTTTTATCACACACACCTACTTAAGCCCTGAGCAAAAAAAATAATGTACCTTCACTTAATTTTCATTAAGTGTTAACAGAGTAAAATAATGACATGGTCCTTGACACCTACACAGGTCAAATAACAAAGAAATCTCATAGGGACAAGGGCACACAGGAAGAATGGTTCTTTTATAAAGCCATGTATTATTATGCCTGTGGTGGTCCGAGGGGCAGAAACAGGCGAGCAGAGCCGAAAGGCATCTGTGTGTGGGTCTGCTGGAGTGGAGTGGTGAGAGGAAGGTTCAGACAAAGGTGAGATTTATATTGAGCCTGCAAGGATGCAGTCTCACAAAATGTGCTGAGACAGACCCATAACCACCAGCTATTCTGAACACTTTAAATAAAATCGCAAGAGGACTAAACCATCTAAGACTACTACATTGTATGTCATATATACTACTAAAAACAACATTAAAAACATAATTTTACAATTAGTTTAAAAACACAGAAAAGATGAGAGCTTCTCAGGGTTCTCAGAAAAATACTGAACAGGCTTTTTATCATAGTAAGTTTTTTTTTTTAAACTATAAGCATGGTTTTTTTCACTCTTTGCTACCATTTTACAATACTTAATTCAGGTCTCAGTGTTGTCCTTTGTGATGAAAATACAACTTTATCAGACACTTTTATGGGCTTAGGCTTGTAATAAGAAGCAGTATGATAGCTGCGTACCAAGTGGCCAGTGACAAAACTTATAATTTTCCCTAGCTGTCATCAAAGCTCTGACTTCAAGGGTTGAATTATCATGTCAGGTGAACATGATATCAGGTGCCGAAGCCTGAGGGCACATGTCATATTGAGGTGGACATTTCATCCGTGTGAGTGACAGCTAATGGGGTGTAAAACTAAAGGGAGGGGTATTTTAAATTCCCTCACAGGGTAAAACATACATATTGTAGCTATGATGATGAAAACACTTCTGAGATGGATCACTGTCAGGCTAGTTGAAAAAAGAGGGTGTCTGTCTATATAGAACCTGCAAGAACACGTCCCAGATATGCAGGAGGATGTCTGGTCTATAGAAGTGGACAAAGTATACATACATTTGCAGTCAGCTGCGTCGTCAGGTTGGATACTTTCTCCTGTGAAGACTCAAGTTCCCTCCTCAACATTCGAATTTGCTGGAAAATATAAAAGTTGCATGTGAATGACAACAACAACAATGCTGAATACTGAATTTGGCTGTAAGAGTAATCTTCTATGGTGCGTTACAGATGCATTAGCTGGTAATGCATTAAGGACTAAACCAGGTGTAAATCGCAATAAATTGGTATAAACATGTGCAAAGTCAGAGCAAAAAAGGGCTAATTCAGGGCTCTACACTGAAGATTATGAGTAAAATAAAACCCAAAATCTTTGAACACATAAACTGGACTATACTGGAATAAACAGGAATAAACCACAACTAATCTGGCCCCAAACCACAGTAGAAAAATAATGCTGAACTGAAAACTGAAACCGGAAATTGAAAACTTTAGCGTCCTGTTTGGTGGATGTTGAACAAATTAGTCAAAACATATCAACACAAACCACAGACATGGCGTGAGAGATGGTGGAAAGGTAAAGTCTTTAGACTAGAAAAAGTGCAGGCAAGAACACACTTACCTCTCCCTGAATCTTTTCCTCAGCCTTAGGAAGCAACGGGAATAAAAAGTTGAGTTGTTAAAAGAGGACACAAGTCAAGAAAATAGGAGAAGGAAAAGGATTTCAAGCTCTACAATGGGCACAGCATATCAGGGGAGGCTGTCTCAATCACTTGCAAATACACATTCACAAAAAACACACCACAGCACACCAAGCCATTCGATGAACTGAACAATAGCTACCTGAATCTGTATGGGGCTGGCACTCACCGAGGAGTAACTAGATGAGGCATTAGAGGCCAAGGACAGTACCGAGCCATGAACTACAAAGCATAATACAATTTATTAGAGACAAGAAATACAAAGTTGACAAATTTCACTAAATGTGTGATAGAGACTCACCCTCATCAAGGTCTTTGTCTCTGAAGGAGCCGGATCGGACTATTCCCATACTGCGCGGACGTTCAGCCAGAGAGAGAGTGCTGCCCAGAGGAGACGGAGTGTACAGCTCCAAGGAGGGGTCAGGGGTCGGGATACTGTTGGAGCGGGTCATCCTCGGAGGGCCACCAACAGGGCTTGGTACTGGGAAAAAACAAGTAATAGATTTTTTTAAATATTGGGTATTATGGCAACAACGTATACATTTCAGAATAAGAGCTGCACAGTATATTGTCATAAAATTCAAACTGAAATCTTGGTTGCAATTATCAAATCAAGAAAGCTGTAATTATAGAAAATAAAATAAAAATCTAGTGTTATTTTATAAAAAATTTTTGTAATTGGACATTCTGAAAAGGAATTCTTGTATTAGTTTATTATTCCTTATGTCAGTCTCTCTCAAATATTAATGCTCCTGTTGTTGTATAATGTACACTCTGAAAAGAATCCTATTTAAAAAAAAAATCTTTTTCCAAAGTCGTGCAGCCCTATTCAGAATTTTTTTTCAAAATACATACATATATTAGTCTTTGAAGTGCGAGGCAGAGATGTGGGTGAAGACAGCAGAGGGAGAGTGAGAGAGTCGCTCATACTGAGGATGCTATGAGAATGTCTCCTCTCTCCTTTCTCTTTTACTTCAGCCTCAGCTGGTGGTGCACCTCCAAAACTGCAATTGAAAAAGAAACATGGTTTACAATTCAGTGAATATGCTTTAATTCATCCAGATCCAGCCTAAGATTTAACAATCTAAACAAAACTATACAAAATAACATAATAATAACAACATAGAGCAATAAATAGTACCAAAAACATAAAAACAACAGACAAAAGACTTAAATTATAAATAATGTGGTAATATGTGTTGACTTACCTTAAACCTTTTTTAGGGAGAGTGTTTCTGTCTCGCTGTGGGCTGTTGAGATTAAACAATGTGATTATTAAAGTGGTGATACAGGCATTAATTAAACTTTCAGGATACAAAGGAAGCACAGTGAGAGTGGCAGATAGCCTTTGACAGCTTATAATTATGACTTCACTCTCTGATAATAGGCCACTAGTAATAATAGTTTAACAAAGCCACCAAGCTGGGCATGTGTGGGGTTGTACAAATGGCAATAAATCATTGTTTATTTAAAATGGAAGTTATATATAATGTATATGCTATGTTATTGAACTTCAAAAAAAACCTAAAAAAAAACAGAATTTCACTTTAATTGATCTTTTTGTCATTTTATATAAAAATGGCAAATGACAAAACACCAAGGCTTGTTGATGTTTTTTATTTTGCCAGTAGGTGGAGATAGAGGATAATATCAAGAAATTGAAATGACTATAGAAATTGTCTGAACATATTCCTACCTTTCAGTAACAATCTTGGGTGTTTTGCTTGCAGAGCTCCAGCCTGCCGGAGGGGTTCTGTCATCTTTTCTGTCCCTGTCTCGAGATTCCAAAGTGGTGTAACCTCTCACCAAACCGTCCCTCTCTCTCTCCCTCTGGGGCTCTGGGGCCAGGCTCATCTGAAGCGGCAGTGACTCCAGACTTCGGTGCAGTCCAGTCAGTCGCGGGTAGAGCAAAGGAGAGGTGCTGCCCCCACTCTCCCCAACCCCCAGGGAGGACACCTGCCGAGGGCCTAAGCCTGTCCCCGAGCTTGAGAAACACGATGAAGAGTTAACATTTAGCAGGGGGGCTGGGCTGGGGGACAGACAGGAGCTAGAGGAGCTGGCCAAGTCCTGGATCTTTGAGTAAGGGGGAATTTTGGGAGGAAGCGTGTCCTGGACGCCAATGTCAAGGCTGATGTTCTCTTTGTCATGATGGACCATGGATGGTTTTGTGAGGCTGCGTATGCCAGATAACCTTAAGACAAGAAAGAAAAAAAAAGAAAGATTAGGCAAAACAAGGACAGACAGAGAGAGAGAGAGAGAGAGAGAGAGATGATGTGGAGAGAGAGGGCCTTGTATATGGTTGAATAATTTATATACCTTTGTGTGCTGGGTGAGGACATGTCTGTGCTCTTGTTCGGAGGTCTTAGTCCTTGTAGTTTTGACCCGGTCTCACATGGGGTCAGAGCAGGACTGCCCTTTAGCGGCCCGCACTCCGAATCTGACACCACCGCTTTAGCTTTAGCTCTCTCCTTCTCTTTCTCCTTCTCTCTATCAGTCTGATTGACAGGGCTGGGGATGCCTCGACTCCCTGGTTTACACAGTCCCGTTCCTGGTTCTTTGAGTCTGGATGTCTGGGGGGTGGAGGGTTTGACCAGGCCAGAGCTGGTGTCCACTGTGGTACTAAGAGGCCGTGCTGAGCTGGGCCGAGTCAGGGTCAAAGTGCTTGTCTTGGCAGTGAGCGATACTGCAGAGATGTCCTCGCATTAGGGGACAAAAAACCACTCTGATCACTGATTGAGACGTCTAGACTGGTCTTGCGTCCCCCTCCACCAGTGCCAGCAGGTTTGACGGGGATTGCTGAGGTTTTGGGGGCTTTGCCAACAGTCGCAGAGCCGCTCGGTATGGTACTTGCTGTGCTCATCCCTGTGGGTATACTGCTATTATTTGTCCCGTTAGTGGTAGCTGTGGGCGGTTTCTTGAAGCCAAAGTTTCCACCAGTAGAGGGTCGGACCAGGCCAGACGGAGGTTTACGTGGCTCACTCGGGACTGAGCCATTCTTCTCTTTACCTGCATCTGATGAGGAACGCTGCAAACCTGAAGATTTCACAGCAAGACGAGATTTCTCCGTAGGTTTTCCATCAGGCTTCACCACACCTACAAAAGAAGATACAGGATAAATTCAAAACAAAAACAAAACAAAAGCAAACCAGCACAGATCTAATTCATAGTGTTGCAAATGGCTTTAAGACCAGATGGAGAGCTTCTGACGACTTGGACAAAGCGAGGCGTATTAGGACATGATATCTTATCTGGACACCAAGGCTCTGACGCTGTGTTGAGACATACACATCCCTATCTGGTTGGACAGACTAAACCTTTAGATGCCCTTATCACAGTTACTCTTCTTTTCCACCCAGATGTTTTCTCCAGTTTTCCAGGCTGTGTATGTCTTAAACCTAAATCGTGTTTGGAGTTGCCATTTGTGGTTATGGAAAACGTGTGTTCATCGTTACAAAGCGTGTCTGGAAGTGCACAGCTATCACTTGGTGGAAGAGAGGGGAAATTAACATAGTAGGATTTAAGCCACATCTGTACATTAATCAGATTGTTTGGATGTTATTAGGAAAAAAAAAAAGTTTATTAGACAAATTGCACCACCCGCTTTTGAGAATCTGCAATGGCCACGCTATTAATATGCATGTAAGGGGGCTGTTAGAGAGTTTATATACATGGCATTAAAAGTTTAAAAAGTTCAGTTGAACTAGACCCACCGGTGTGCTGCTTTGGGGCATATGGACTCACTTAGGAGTATTTATAAATCCGCAAAACATACATATGGGCTGACATACGTTATATGCCACACACACAGGTCCTCATTGGATTACATTGGAATGTGACACTTTATGCACACTTGCACATTATAATTGACCGCCTTTTAGAAATTAGAAATTTAGTTTACATGTCAAGTCATAAAACCGTTCATTGAGTAACCGCAGTGTTATGGGGCCTAAGATCACCAAAATAGAGGAGGCCTGTACCAACCCACACTGATGGATATTAGATTTGACACAAATGTAGCCTTATTTAGAAAAATTATAGCTCATAATTTGACAGTGTGGCATGTATAGCAGACAGTGTAAATCATGAACTACTGAAGGGGACAGCATGTCTTGAGAGGAGTCAGATCTGAAGAGAAATCATAAAGACAGAGGCAGACACACAAATCTATCTCTCTGTTGACTGTCTATACATTGTCATCTGCTGTTCTTAGCTCACCTCCAGTCATCCAACACCCTCAGAATGATTTACAATGGTATTAGATGCAGACATAGATCCTGGCTCTATTATAACTTTAATAAACTACATTCTACACAACACAAAAGACTTGCATGATTTTTAAGTCTATTTTCACCTTCTGTCAGACAGACTTAAAAGGATATCTAAAAATACATTGTCTGCAACACTTCCTCTTTCATCTTCTTTCATTTTCACCTTTAAAGTGAACAGCTGCTTCTGAACACCCCTTATTAATCTCATGATATGTGTTATGCTATGTAATAAGTTCGTACTTAACAGGGCTGTATGCATTGTTGATTTAAAATATTGGTTCAGTGGTAATTTTTTTGCAGTTGTATAAGGCTGCTCTGCACAATGATAATAATGCTAACATGACATAATCCAAGCAAATTTACACAGGGCAGATTTAATCTTTCTATATGATATTTCAACAGTTATGTAAACAGTATCTTATCATGCAATTAGTTGCCCGTTTACACAGCCCCCAGCAATATGCCCTGGCAAACAAGGCCTATAAGTTATATCCTGTAGTTTTGATTGTCTGTATTTATACTGTGTGTTCAAATCTACAGCTCACAGATGGTGTGTTTTATCACCAGCTGCACAATCCTCTCCATTATGCTCTTTATGTGCGAGTGGGAGGCAGTGTTAAGTGTGCTACTCTAAAAACTGGCACCGAGTGGAGTTGGTCTGCCATACAAATACGCAGAGTCTTTGCTCCAGTTGTTTTGGGTATAAGGCCTTTATTTGGGTGCTATAAATTGTATCTAAAATAAAGCTGGCTAGCCCTGCCCAATAGGAAATAAAACAGTGCTGGTCAGTGTGTGTCTGCTGGTGCTGGGGTGACTGTGGGGAGCTGGCAGGAGACAGAGTGGGTGGTAATGGGCGTTTGATACATGGCACCACTTTGTAAAGGCTGGAGGCTGCAGCTGTGGGTGAATGAGTGAGTCTGTCAGGGCCAGAGAATCAGCCTTAAAGACAAGCCAAAGAAATGCAACCATGTCAACACAGAGGCACCTAAGGTTAAATGTAAATAAGCTTGACTTGGGAGAATAAAATTTTTACATTTATATTGATATAGATTAAATTATATGGGATTTTTATATCTATGTATCAGTTCATCTTTCTTCTGTTTATTTATTTGGGATAATGTGCAAGAGGGGCGCCTTACACATCTTAATATTAAGTCACTTAGGTCAAGATAGATTCACCAATTCACCAAGTACAGTAGAGGCATATTTTTGAATGGTAAGAGTAAGGATGAGTACCTGAAATCTTTTAACTTAAAGGTGTACTATGTAACTTTTTCTGGTGGAAGGTCTGGCACCTGCTTGTCTCCATGAAGATGATATTGCTCTTGATATTGTTTCACAGCATTTTATATTGCAACTTTTTTGTTGCACACTAATGCCTTAAAAAGCTCAAGAATGTTTCATAGCTATAATGTACGGTACGTACATTGTACGGTACATTGTACAGTATGTGTCGCCTCTGCACAGATTTGACCTGTTACTTGGCCTGGTGGTATCCGCGGCATGTCTTCATAAATAAGTATAACGTCCTACTGCAGAATATCGCAGGCAAAGCCATTTTCATGCAGAGAAGATGTTGTATCCTCCACCAGAAAAGTTACTTCACATTTGCTCTAACTGACTACTTTACTACTATTATTGATTGGACTGGTGTACAAATGTTGATTATTTATTTGCTTGTGAATCTGATAACTGAATCAGAATCCTGTGTTATTTACCTGGTACTTTGAGTCCAGTTGGAGCAGTGTGTGTGATTGGAGAGGTGACCCCCACAGGTGGATTTCTTGCTTTCTTCAGCATGTTTCCTTGGCCAAGTGTTTGAGGCTTCTTCAGCTCTCCTTTTCCTCCTTCTAGCCCTTCCCCCGAAGCCTTGGACTTTCTCCATTTCTGGGCTGATTCGGACTTGAGGCTGCCTGTCTCGTAGATGCTGCTGCCCAGACTTTTGCGACTGGGTTTGGAATCATCTGTGTCCCAGGAAAGGCCACTCTCCACCAGGGACCTCTTCTCTGCATCTGTCCGCATCTGTAAATACACAAAGCCACACTTAAACAACAATAACATGCAAACCCTTTAATTTTCTTTCAGCCATTGGAAACATAATTACAAACAAAACGTAGGAGTAGATTTAATGAGCTTCTGCTTTTGGATACATTTCAACCCCAAGTGCTATTGTGGTTCAAAACAATAAAACTCTAATTGTTTTGTAGTTTTCATTAGCCAAATGGTGCACAAATACACCTAATACACCACCCTAGTTTGTAAGTTTTATTTTTAATATACCTAAATATACCTATTACTTAAAACATATGTTGGGCAATTACTAAAATCATGTTGAAAAATATTTAAATATGATGTTTTTTGCATTAAAACAGAAGAAAAATCTAAAATTAATCTGTACAAAATAGTTCCATATATCTCTTACAGCTCAACCCACAAATAAAACAAAAGACTAAGACTAAAGACTAAATACTAGTATCTCTTGTCATGTTACTTCAAAATTAAGTAACCATCTCCATCTCCACAGACTAAATCCTATTGTGTGCTCTGTTTGAACACTTCAAAGACAAAACAAGGCCCACAGCTGGAGATTGTGTGATGAACAGTGTGCAAAAATACCTCTTCAAAATCAGATCAAAAACACTTTCTGAGTCTGTGAACTCATTAAGTCTTCATCATCAGAAAAAAATGTCTATAAAATTATCCAATTGAGGACAAATGTTACATATATCTAGGAACAACAATGAAGACTTATGTAATACTAAACAAGAAAGCGGGATCTACAGTATAACAGCGGATATGAATACTATTCAGGGAGATTACTTTACCCCCCTCAAAGAGCTGGAAGTAACATAACTTAGCTGGCAACCTGTTAGTGCAAGCTTAGGACAGTGGAACTAGTGGTCCTCATGGGAATTCCTCTTTTATTAAAATCAATATACCCCATGAGCTGGTTCAGGGCCATGTGAGCTGTATATTCAGGCTTGTTAATAAAACAGGGTAATTTCCTCCCAAACACCTGTCTAATGAAACAACGCGAGTGAGATAGGCATCAGGGCATCAGGAAAGGAGGGATAACAACACAGATTGCAGCATAATTGAAAAACAAGATAAAATAACATTGTCTTGCCTATGTTCACATAACATAATACTGTAGGTATCGAATCATGTGAATCACACCCACTTGGCACTGCAGTAAAATGGGGAAGCTCGTACACTTGTAGACAATGTGGGGTGCATGATGATGACGATGTAATGGAAGGTTGCCACGGAGATGATGCTACAGGGGTTGTTGGTTGCCATGACTACCCCATTCGGGTGTCGAGGGAGGGTCCAGGTTCTTCCGGCTCACTGGCCCCAGAGGAGGACCGCAGATGGCCCCTGTGTGTGTATTTGTTTATGTCTGATCTTGTGTGTACAGATGGTCATATTACTGTACGGTTAGTTAGTATCTGAATAAAAAACGCATTTGATTTCATTTTACAAATCCCAAAGGAGAATTTCAATCATTAGGCATCTTTAACGTGATTAATTTATGGATTCATAGCTCATCTGGATTGATTATATTGTCTAGTTACAGCAGGAAATAGGAATTATTATGACTTTATTAGGCTAGTGTATTAAATGTGTTCCTTTAGGTACTCAATGTTGAAGGTTATGGAAGTACATGACCTAATTCGAGTACTTGAGGAATAAGCACTTATACTGTCTGGAAACAATAGTGATCTAAGAAAATGCTGAACAATGCTACAGGCTGTATTCATATTGACCAAATCTATCTTAGACGCTCACTTGAATTTTAATGACATAGAAATACATGTAGAATTGTAATCTGTCAATGTAATGTTTTTTAATTACCTCTTCTTGTTCCGTCCTTTTGGTAATTCTTACAGGGTTTTCAAACTGTCTGCCCCAAGCAAGCAGTGATTTGCATATTAATTTGAAATTCATTCAATGCTTCAACACAAGCAGACTGGGTTATGACCCCATGTCTCTGAATTTCTTATTTTAATTAATAGATAATATAGTAAAATTGTGAATCTTGAAGTCTTACATTTTTAAAAGTGGTCATTTTGTTGTATGCTTTGTCTTATCTTGCATTGATTCAGCAGATGGAATAAATTCCAAAGGGTGTGTGCAAAATTTCAATCCATCTTTGTTTTTAATACTACTTTCTTAACAGTCAGTCTTTCCTCCTCCCTTTATTTGTCCTTCCTGTAGGCAATGAACGCCTCATCAATACCTCTGCAGATTAATTGGTAAATCAATAAGACACGTATTGTATAGTTTGTGAATCTTGTGTCCGTTGTGTACTGTGTGCATTGGACGTACCACAATGGCGGAGTTTCTCCGTGAGCCAATGGGAGTGGTCGGGAGGGAGTTGAGGGTGGGGCTTGTGTTGAACTCCTCAGAGCTCAGGTTGTCCGAGCCGTCACTCAAACCACTGCTGATGGAGCTGCTCTCGTCCCAGCTACAAAACACAACATAAAACAAAAACAGAGGTCACAAGGGATGCATATAATACAGTTTATTAATTATGAATAAATGTAGTTTAAAAATGCTAAATAGCAACTGACAATCTCTTGAATGCAGGACAGTCAGTAAAAATACAATATTTTAATACTGATTGAATTATTAGACAATGGGGAAACAAAATACAAAAAAATTGGACAGAAAACATGGATAGCTAATTTCTTAATTGACATTAGGTTAAATAGCTGCGAGTGTCTGCGAGACCAAAACAGCCTGTGCCCCTAACCTGATGTCTTATTCCATGCAATCATCTCTAATACTCAAGTCTATAGTCTCTGTTTCATCAGTGTCTGGCTCTGTATCTTCTAGTTTTCCTTGTGATTAAATATTCATGAACCAAGGCCTCATTTACAAAGCAGCCTGTTCTATATAACCAAATCTTCCTGTAAATTCACTGCAAGCACTTGGCAAAAAGACATTCGAGAGCTCTCAATAGTGTCTCTACCCACACAGGCCCAGAAATAGCACAAAAGAACATATACAGCGATGCAAGCAGCACCCACAAGTGTAAAGGGATTTTGAGACAGGACTTATTGCCACATTGCTAATGATTAAAATGTAACGGATAAACAATAGTCACTAAATTTACTTAAAAATCTCATTATTAAAACTATGACTATGTTTTAACAATACTCTTAAATATGTGTTTATTCATGCATCATTCTGATTTCCAGAGAAGGAAGGGAGGTGAGTTTTGTTGGTAATTCTTTCTGTGCCTGACCATATATGTGCACATGCTTTAGGAAGTTGGGGGTTGGTATGCCCATATTAGGGTCAATGGGTTGCACTCATGTTGCTGTATACTGTAACACTGACATAAAGTAGGCAGGCTTTTTTCTCCAATAAAGAGGTCATGTATAATGAGGTGCACCGTCAAAAGGGTGCCAGCGGTGCGGGGTGGGCCTTCCGGATGGGTGCCTCTTTGGGTCACGCTGTACCCTGAGGACATGGGCCGGTGGGGTGTATGGGTGGAGAGAGTGGGACAAAGGGTAAGCCCTCTCCATCTCAATCCTGGATATCGGCACATGAAAAGAGCAGAGGATTTAACGTATCAGAAGAGTCTGCAATGATGACTTCACTATTAAGGATGCCAACGTAAGATTAAGGGCAAATTTAAAGAAGGGATTAATTAAAACCTACTTTTCGTAAGATCTTAAAATTAAAAGGAACCAGATCATTTAAATCTAGTTTCTCCTTTGCCCTTGTATCCTCCTTAAATTTTCCCAAACTACTGGTTTTGCTTCCTCATTAATAAAATAAATTCACATAAGTTGAACCTATATTACCTTTATAATTGTATACAGTACCTATATGTATATGTTCACTTTAAGAGCTAATGCAGCATTTATGAATAATTCAAACTGATAAGAAGTCTCAGCTTAGTTTGATGTTACTATACCAGTGGAAGTTCAAAGTTCAAAGGTCACAAAAATATCAGAAGTTAAATGCCTCAAAGATATGAACCAGATTTTTTATAGCCCATGCATTTCAATGAGGCACAGAGGCGACACTTAGTTAAAGCCTGTTTAGACAAGACCAAAAATGGGCCGTAAAATGTGTGAGCCAAGAGCAACAAATGCCATGGTTAATTTAGTATTAAAGTACACGCACAATAAGATATGATGACGACTTTACCACACAACCTCACTCAAGTCAGAAAGCATACATCTCTGTGCCTTGGCAATGACTGAACCGTACTCTCACTTTGATCTGCTGTTAGGTCAATTTATCAGATTTCAGCATCATTACAACTTGGCTGAAATAACACGAAAAGATCACGATTTCTGGTTGAGGAAATTGAACTGCTGTACGAAAAGGTCACAATTCAATCAATGTCACTCTAGATGTTGCTGCTAGTGTATCATCAAGTTTGTCTTTATTTTTAACAACGAAGAGAGGAGGAGGTGGGCACCATAACTTGACACACGTTTCTGGAACTTTAAAGGGCTCATATTACACTATTTTCTGATCTATGTTATAATGCTGTTTCCTCATCAAAAACAAACCTGGAATTGTGTTTTTCAGGTATGTTTGTGAGGAACATCATTCCAACACATCTTAAATCTTACAAGAGTCCATTTTGTGTAACATAGGAATTTAAAGTAGAATGCTTGCTATTGTCTATGAAGCATTAAGTGGTACTACTGGAAGTGGTAAAACTAGAGATAGTATCAACCCGGTCACAATTAGGCCAAATCAAAATACAAAGGAGGCCTTCTGAGATACTTTTTATTACTTCCATAAATATATATGTAATTGTCTGGATGTGGCATTTAGGATGTGGTTAAAGTCAGTGGTCAGTGGTTAAACATGGAGGAAAAATGGATAACATAATTGAAAAATATGATTCTATGGTTAACTGTGTGTAACGAATATGAATGTTAATTACATTTAGGCTGCAATAAATGTCAATTACAGTGAGCTGTGCTGGATTACACTCATTTTTCACCTTCACCTCTGCAGTGATTTTCTCACAGCATAAACCTGTGCAGATTGTATTACGATGCCAGATGAGCAGGTGGTAATCTGCCCTATCAAAATGCATTATGGTCTGAAAATGCTAAACGAGAAATGAGAATGTATTTAATCAATGAATATAATTTGAAAGTTTTTAATCTGCTGAAGGGTCAAAAACATTTTACCAAACTTTTTTTTCTATTTTCCCTGTTTTCACCTATCCCCAGTTTAAGTTTTGAAGGGCATTTGGCATAAAACTTGTAATTCGTAAAAACTACAGATAGTTTGCTGTGCAAGTCTGGTGACCCTGAAGAGATAAGCCATAAAAGAAATGATTCCTTTGTGCTTAATGGCCAATACTGTTAAAAGGATTGCATGCTTCCCATTGTTTAGTCTGTGAAGCTAAATGTTAATGTTCTATCTACAGGGTTTTAAAAGCCTTGGCCGTGTCTGCTCCTCTCTCTGACCCTAAGACTGGCAAGTGAGGAAAAAATGAGCAGCCAGTGAAAGATGATTGAAGAAAAAGCTGCTAAAGAGACAAATGCAGCTTTGCCTGTATTTGGGAGTAATGCATTCTGGGATTTGGAGTTTGTCCAAAGTGACAGAGTACTGGGAGTGATAAGCAGCTCTATCTAAGCAACCATTTGTTAAAACTGCATGAGGTCCATTTGGAAGAGTGCATGGCTGGGCGGGTCTGGCTTTGAGAGACTGATGACAAGGTGACTCGTCTCACTGGAGATAATGTAAAAGCAGACAGTCTACCTGCCTCATGCTCCGAGATTGATTTTAAAGAGCAATTAACTAATTATGTAGTCAATACTAAATGAGACCATATAAAGCACTTAGACAACAACATGAGCTCATAAACTAAACAATGTCAATATATGATACAGACAGGAACATCTAAAATGCTATGCAAAGGAAAGTGACATTAATCCCTTTGAGTTTTTGCATGGTTAAATGTGTGTTATCCAACGTGTTGATCCATGGAAATTCTGCACTGGACAGGAACTTTCCATTCCTATTATATTCCACAGTGACACATGGAAGGGCCCAAAATGGATAAATCAGATGGGTCCCTCAATGTGGAGATGCCTTTTCAGGAATAGGAAAAATTAGACCAAAGCCAGGCTGGCATTGAGCATTTAAAGGGGACAGACTGCACGTGAAGTCATCAGAAGCCATTAAATATTTTAGGAGGATTAAACTGGAGGAAAATTAAGTGAGATGCAGCATGACCTTTTGGCTATGGTTCTTGGGCTGTCTGGATGGTCCTAAATACATTCCAGACTAACCTTAATAACTGGGCTGGATTTACAGTTTAACACATATTGAAAGGTTCTGCTCCAAATCAAAATCCAGTTCCACAATGAGACAAGTGCAATACTGTGACCGTGCATTTAAAGGAATCAACAAAAATGTGATTCACCATCTAGATACTAAACAGGTTCAGACCAGTTTGTCAAATTTTACACCCATGAGAAAAACAAGTTTAAAACTATATGATTCATTTTCAAAACTGTATGACACACCACACCCGACAATCAGATCTGTTTAAAATATCATCTTATCACTTTGAATATAAACAATCTGTGTTAGTTTTAAAACTCTAAATACTGATGCACCACCAGGAATCAGGCAAAGTGAATAATTTTGAGTCTTGCAAATTCATATAAGTAATAATATATACTGTATTGTTTTATGGCACAGATGGTAAACGGAATGTTTTCTTGGCCCAGTTTATCAGTGTATCACAAGGACATCAACACAGTGTGTGAAAGACCCTTTTGGATATAATTTTCAGTTTTGCTTTTGAAGTCATGAATTATTTGCAACACAACTATTGAAAATTGTGTGTTGTAGTTGTGTGAATGAATGCCCAAAGCACTTGGAGAGTAATTAACACCAGTTTTCCACTTAAAGGACTTTTTAATTACAGCACTTACTGGCTGTCTGCTGAACAGCCTTGTGGAGTGCTTATTGTAAATCAGTTACATGACTAAATTTAAATGTAAACCGTGCCCACCTTCAGTAGAACTTCCCTTTTATATTATTCACAATGGCCTCCAATGGTGTAGCAGGACAGACGTGATAGCTGGACACACTGGGCACACAATGCAGTATTTGAGCATGACATAGGATTATAGAGCAGGCTGCAGTTAATCAGATCATAATTACTGCTAATTCCATGTGCCTCTAGGATCAGAGTGTTTGCTAGTGTGAGCGCTTTCAAATGTGCTAAAAATCCCACCACAAAATAATTATATTAATAAACCGACTATCTCAAACTACTTAAATTTGCCCTTTGAAACATTTCTGCCACTTGCTTGTCTCCATAAAAATGTCATTGCTTTGCCTTGAATGTTCCACAGTATAGCAGTAAACTGAAGTTACAGGTCAGATCTGTGGAGAGGCAACAATAAGAATACATGTTTTCAAGATGTTTTTTTTTTTTTTTAGCAATAACAATGCTCAAAATTA